TTGTCTCTTGAGAAACCTATATGCGGGTCAAGAAGCAACAGTGAGAACTGAACACGGAATCACTGATTGGTTCAAAATTGAGAAAGGAGTTCAACAAGGCTGTATACTGTCACCCTGTCTATTTAACTTATATAAAGAGCACATCATGAGAAAGGCAGGACTAGATGAATCACAAGTTGGAATTAAGATTGCCGGGAGAAACATCAACCTCAACAACCTCATGCAGATCATACCACTCTAATGGCAGAAAGTGAAGAGGAACTAAAGAGCCTCTTGATGCAGGAGAAGGAGGAGAGCACAAATGTTGGCTTGAAACTCAACATTAAGAAAATTAAGATCATGGCATCCGGTCCTATCACTTCCTTGCAAATATATGGGGAAGAAATGGAGGTAGTGACAGATTTTATGTGGACTCCTAGATCACCACAGACGGGGACTGCAGCCAAGAAATTAAAAGATGCTTGCTCCTTGGGAGGAAAGTTATGGCAAATCTAGACAGCATACTGAAAAGCAGAAACATCACTCTGCTGACAAAAGTGTGTATAGTCAAGGCTATGGTTTTCCCAGTTGCAATGTATGGCTGTGAAAGTTGGACCATAAGGAAAGCTGAGCACCAATGAACTGAGGCCTTTGAATTGTAGTGCTGGAGGAGACTCCTGCAAGTCCCTTGGACTGCAAGGTGATCAAACCAGTCAGTCCTAGAGATCAACCCTGACTGCTCTTTAGAAGGCCAGATACTGAAGATGCAACTCAAATACTTTTGCCACCTAATGAGAAGGAAGGACTCACTGGAGAAGAGCCTAATGCTGGGAACAATTGAAGGCAAAAGAAGAAGGGGACGGCAGATAATTGGTGGCTAGATGGGAGTCACTGAAGCAGTTGGTGTGAGCATAAGTGGACTCCCGGGGATGGTGGAAGACAGGAAGGCCTGGAGGAATGTTGTCCATGGGGTCGCGATGGGTTGGACATGACTTTGCGACTAAGAACAACAACAACAAATTGCTCAATTATCATCAACAGCTGCAATTTAACATCCAACCAGCAGGGGGAGCTCAGGGATTGCTGTTAGCAGAAATACAGTCTGTATGTTGTCAATACATCACTTCCTCTTCTTGTCTATCCTTTTATTTTGGTTATTTCTTATCTCTGTAACAGCAAGATAACACAAAGAAGCTAATTCTGGGACATTAATTAACTTTAATATACATTCCTCCAGGCTCTATCCCAGTATTTTCCTGTAATTTCCTTTTCTGCACCTTCTCAGCTTTCCAACTGTGCAGGGGGTGAGAGGGAAGTCTTCTCCATTAATTATTTGTTAATATTTTTACAGGTTGGAGCTTTTAAACTCTATTTCATCAGCCGCTCAACACTGACCCTCCCCACCCCTTTTCCCTCCACTCTTCAAGCTGCTTTTAAGCTTTTTAAATAAACAGCCAAGGTGCAGGCTTACTCTGGACAAATTCCAGCAGTTTCAGATTACAAAAAAAGGCTCTTTGCAGATCTCACAGTCCACATCTATGTTTCAAAACTTCCCAGGAGAGAGACAAAGGAATTAACTCACATGTCATGCACTTTTCAGTATTTCTTGATCTTAATTTGAATATATTTTAATCATATATTTTCCGATGGTCAGGAGGAGTAAGAATTCAGCATCTGGAGTCCATCCAAGCCAGCCCCCCCCCCCCCGGCAATCTTATTTTCAATTTCTTTCCTAATTATTCCTAACATGGAGTTTGCTTTTTTTTCATAGCAGCTGCACACTGGGCTAAGTTGACATTTTCATTGAGCTATCTATCACAACCCGTTTCTTGGTCAGCCACCACTAGCTGGTTTTGTTTGAAGGTGGAGCTTTTCTGCTTGCCTTCTATTCTGACTCAAGAGGAGTCAATATCTTGAGTGTACTGGATTAGAACCATAGCATAGAGGCATAAAAGGGTGGCATGTACCCCATTAACTATTTCTGTCCATGTAGAAAAGGCCAGAGAACATAACTGAGATCTAGAGTAAATACTTCTTCTTATGTTACCTGACTAACAGCATTCAAAAACAGTGGGTATCATTAAATCATAATAAAATAGTGTCCACCAGAGGTCTATGCTCACAGTACAGATGCCATGTGGGAGGCTGCTAGAAAAATGTTCAACAGCCAGGAGGCCCACATGGAAGGAATAACAACCAGTAGCCATTCATCCATTCGACAGCTCCAGCTGTGAAGGAAGCACAGCATAGGCATAGATAATCTCTATGCAGTTGCAGTGATCCTCATGATGGGCAGATCTGAAAACCAATGGCCGAACAGGAAGCCACCAAATGGAGAATGGTTTCCTGCAGCCTCCTCCATGGGGGCCATGGGAGGGCAATCAGACATAAGAGATGCTCTTAGATTACCACTATTACTATTATTAATAGCATAATTATTACATTGCCTTTATAGCCCAATTTTATATGAGATCGGAAACAGAAGCCCTCCTCCAGGAACCCTCTTTGAAAGATGTTAGGAGGCAGAGCACCTGGAGGAGGGCCTTCTCTGCCCCGACTGTGGAATGCGCTCCCCAGAGAGGTCTGCCTGGCACCGTCATTATATGTTTTTTGGTGCCAGATTAAGACCTTTTTATTTAATCAATATTTTAATATGTTTTAATATTGTATTTTATTGTTGTATTGTATTAACTTGCAGCCAGAGTGGGTTGTCAATTTACTTATGTTGTAAGCCATCCAGAGACGCAAGTAACTGGACAGCATACAAATTTTATAAATAAATAAATAAATAATATTTTGCATCTCTTGTGAGGAAGCCAAGGTGGCTTTCATAGTCTTCCTGCACCCCATTTTATCCTCACAACAACCAGCCTGTGAGGTGGGTTAGGCTGAGAGTGAGTGACTGGCACAAAGCAACCCAGCAAGTTTCCTGGCTGAGTAAGAACTAGAACCTGGATCTCTCAGGTCTCCAGGCCTACACTCTAAAGTTCACAACACATGAGCTCTACAATAAAGCAATTTGATCCCCCCATTCCTGGAAGCTGTATCATCAATGAACTCAGAGTTCTATGTAAACATACACAAAACTGGGTTATAAGAGATTCTGGGTTCAAAGTCAGTAGGAATGTCACAGTATGCAGAGGGCTAAGCCTTTTTCACCCCAGCAGTGATGCCTTCTTCAAAATGCTCCCTCTCCACATGGGAATGTGTTTTTTTACATTGGCTTACAGTGAGGGGGCATTTTTTTCCCAGAAGATTACAATACTTTATTCACAGCACCCACCCAATCCCCACCAGCACAGCCTTCATCAAAGCCTTTCCGGGCAACAGTGGAGGAGCTTTAAAGTCTAATGGCTGGAACAGCAGGGAAAACAGCTTATCTCAGATCAGCTGCTGATCAGTGATAAAAGATTTCACCTGTTTGGGGTGAGGGAAAATACTCTGGAAAGAAGTAGATGGGTTGTATGAAGAACGCTGCCCCCCCCTTGAGTTAGATACACCCACTGTCTTTCACACAAATCTGTCATGAAAATCCAGTTCATATTAGGGACAATGTAAACAAAGTAAGCAAGACTGGAACCAAGCTGCACAGAGGCACACAGCTTCCTGCAGTTCAATGAAACACTGGAATCTGCGCAATGGGCAGTCTCATATAAGACTGTGTCCCCCTACAATCCTGCCAATCCACGGAGCTTAGCTAAGCAGGGTTTCTTACACAGCTTGCCCCCACCCCCTATCTGCCACCACATTTGGAGGGAACATGCAAGTTGGCCTGCTCACTTGTGGCACCCAGACTTTGAGACTCCTCTCATAGTATGTCCTTGCTAACTGAGACTTTTGTTTCAGAAGGCTTGATGAACAACTTTATCTGGCCCTGTCTCTTTTGTTTTAGTCCTTATTTTGTTGTATCATAGGCTTAATTCTGTTGTTCCTCACACTTCTGTGATTATATTTTTAATTAATTATGTAAACTGCCTTTGGTGGTTCCGTTTTGAATAACTGGAGTAGGATATTAATACCCAAAACAAATAGATAAATGCAGGAGCTGTGTGCTGTCCAGAAGATGCACTCCAGCATCCCTGGTGACATTGCAAAGGGGTCCAGCAGACACTGGGCCAAATATGCAGAGGGCAGACATAGTCCAATGACAAATCAGTGCCAGTCAGTTTACCTTCTTCCCATAAAGTGGTTCTTTTCTAAAATATATGTTCAGGGCACACATCTTCCCAAAAGTTATCCCATCTTTTCCTGATTTCAGAGGTAGTAGAGGACTACTTACCTTGTATACATGTATGCAAAATTCACCCAAGTCTTCTCCATCTGGCCTTTTTGAGGCTGGAGCTCTCTTCCCCAATCGTCTTGGCTCAGAAGCAGCAACCCAGGACTCTCCAGATGTTTTGGACAACTCCCACTATCCCTGACTATTGGTTACGTTGGCTGGCCCTAATCTCAAAAACTGGAGGGCACCAAGCTGGAGAAGGCTGTCCCTGTGCCACGTCTTTGCCATGCGAGTTCTCCCTCAAGATGTAGTTTAGCAGTGTCAAATGCCAGTAGGCCAGATGCTTCTGACTTCTTCCTATTCATCCCTCCTGGTCTCAGGAGAGGGAGACCCAGAATTATACTCCAGGATTCTGTGCAATGTCATTCATTGTGCCCCTAAATACATTACTAGGGCAACTATTCTATTGCACAATCACAAAATGTTCTTCCCTGCTTTGGGAATGCTACTGACAAAATTCTGCTGGGGAGGGCTTTGCGCTTGGCTCCACCGACAAAAAGATTTGCAACGGGGGTACCCAAGTGCGTCAGGATCGAGCCTGCCACCTCGCACGCGCTGTCGGCCGCTTCGCAAGGCTGCCCCTGCCCCAACAGGAATAGCTCGTACTGCAGACTCGAGACCCCGAAACTCCCGGTCGCGCCCCCCCACACCATTATCCCTTCGATTTGGCAGCTCCTTTCTTGATCCTTGCGCCCTTCTTGCACCGCGTCATTCTGCGCCCCCACCCGCGCAAGATGCTCACCTTTCTCTCGCCGGCCGCTGCTTTGGCCTGAGGGGGCTGGAGCGAGCGAGCTCGACGCGGATCCTGTCCAGGCAGAGAGCCCGGTCCGACCGCCCCTCCTCCTCCAACGAGGCTGAGGAAACACAGGACCTCCGCCAATGGGCTCCAGGGCGGGGGAAGCGAGCAGCACGCGTGCTGGGAGGGGCGAGTGTGGTGCGCCCGGCGGGAACGCGCTGCCACGAAATCGGAAAGGACGCCCTGCCCTCTCTCAGGCGGACCCCGAAGCACTTCAGGACACACAGCGTGGAAAGCGGCCGGGGCGCTCGCCAAGTTCGTGCAGTGCTGGCGTAACGCTTCGTCCCTCGCGCGCTCCCTCCGAAGCCGAATCCTTGCCGAGGCTGGGCTCCTTTAGAAAGACGAGGATGCGAGCGGGGGCGGGGGCAGTTCTCCAAAGGCTTCCTAAGGTCTAGATTCATTCCTGACTCCTTATCGATACAAAAATACCTCTGGCCCATGTAGAGAAAACTAGAGATTAGGGAGATACTTAGCCTAGCACCCTGCACCCTCAAAGCTACACAGGGCCAGCTCTGTCATTAGGCAGAATGAAAGATGCCCTGGGGGGCAGACTTTGGGTATCTTGAAAGGGGAGCAAATTATTAACTATTTAATTCATTGTTGCTATATTGTAACTTTCAGGGATGGGGAGAGGTGTTTGTGAGATTTTCTGTTCCAGCTACAAAAATAATTGGGCTGCTTTTCTGTATTCTGCATTTTGATTTGAGTCAGGGTTGGTACTATTTGCTGTTCTGCCTCAGGCAGCAAACTGTCTTGGGTTGATCTTTTCAAACTACTTGAATTCACTGAGGCTACTGTTGTAGATAAGTTTGGCCAAAGAAACAGTTGTTTCATGGGAGAGAATAGTGTTGTGCTGCTTGAAAAACTTAAAAGTTTTATTGGCAGCCAAGGGGTGGTGCTGAAAACATATGGGTGAAGGGCGGGTGTTCTGGAAGCATTGTTTCAGATCTGCTGGGTGCACGGGGGAGGCAGAAGTGTGATTATTATCCCAGATGGTTACATGCCTGATACAATAAGGATTTTGCACTCTATATGATGCTGCTATTAAAGGCAGTAGTAAAGGTGCAATCCTATACACAAACCTTTCACAATACTGAAAGATACAGTGCTGGCTAGGAATTAAAGGAATTGCCCTTCAACCCATCTGGAGGGCATTGGGTTGGGAAAGGCTGCTATACACAGTTATCTAGGAGTAAGTCTCATTGAACTCTGCAGGATTTATATCTAAGTAGACATGAATATGATTGCACACTAAAATGGAGGGAATAGATAGATCATCAGAAGTTTGGAACCAACTCATATGGGAATCAAAGATCATGACAATGTTTATGGTTACATTTGAAAAGGCCCATCATTGTATCAAACTGTTCCTCATAGTTGCAGTGCATGTCAGAGGGATGTCACCTGTCGCATTTCTGCCTGGAATACAATAGTTATAAAAACACAGAAATCAATCAAGAACGAGAACGGTAGGGCCCTTCCAGACCAAACTAGACTTAAAACAACCTCGAAAATCTTAAATCTCTCTCTCTCTCTCTCTCTCTCTGGGGTGGAGCGATTGGACAATTTGAGAAGGAACGTCACACAGAGGCGGTCCAAGATGGCTGCGCCCAGTGCGGGAGGTCAGGTTTGCAAGGGGAGCGCGCGAGCTAATACTGGAATAACGGGCCGGGGGCTGATTTAGAAAGCGGGTTGGTGAAAAGGCTGGAAGGGTCTGTACCTTAGCCGGTTAAATGCAAAATAGAGTAGGCAGTGGTGGAGCGTCTTCGGCTTTTACCTTGTAATCAGTTTAAAGGGGCTTGTGACTGCAACAAATGGGTTACCGTGTTTGCACAAATCGATGTGCTTGTAAGACCAACGTGAAAGCATGTATTATTATGAAAAGGTAGTTATGATAATTGCCTGTTTCTGCGTAGATGCAAGCCCAACCTTTGCGGTGTGTGAACTGCTGGTTCCTGATATGCCAGAGCACGCAACAATCTCTGAGCATATTCTTTGGGTTACAAAAGACGGCCCTCTCTCATACATTCTGGGCACTCGTGTGTATATTTTGCATTCCTGGTCCTTTTGAGAGTTCAGAATTGCTGCAAAATCGTCTAGATTTCAGTCCAGTGTAACTGCTTTCAAGCAGTCATACATAGGAGTGACTACGGATTGAACACCCGGAAAAGAATTAATAGGAGCCATTCATGTCTAACTTAAAAGAGGATATGTTTTAAAAGAAATGCTTTAAAGAAAAATAAGTGCTTGTAGCTGACAACTGGGGACAGAGAGATAATCTACTAAAAAGAATAGAGTGTCAGTCCTGGATTAAAGTAACTGGAAGGCCTGGGCTAGGAGGCTTTGGGGGGCCCAAACTTAATAGCATCTGATCATGAAAAACATATCTTCTTTATGTACTCAATGAAAGTAGAACACTGATGAAAATACTGTTCATAAATTTATAACCTCTAATAAAGTTTACAAAGTATGGAATTAAGGAAGACACAGAACATTCATAGAGGAATCATAGCTATGCTATAACATCACACCATATGCAAAATCAGAATGGTTTCTTTCAAGCTTTTTTGGATGCAAACTTATCAATTATATTAAAATAAGTAAGTTGCAGTTTCATTTTCTATGCAGAGGATGCTTAGATCAGACAACCAGTCTTGAGACATGGTTGACTGTAGATCACTCTTGATACTTTTTAGTCTAGAAAACGATCTTTTGCCTAGGTGAGCCTCTGATAATTATCATTACAGATGAAATAAGATTAATGGTAATTTTAAAAAAATTGGCAGGAGCCAAGGTCTCCCTAGATTATGAGTTTCCGAGTTGCAGCCTGCTCAGCCCATGTGTAAATCCAGCACTGATCTGTGAGCCATAACCTTCCATATTCAATACAATGTTCCCTGTTGGTGATGATATGGGTTTTGAATTAATGAATGCTGAATTAGAATTTTCCCACTGCCCTAAATCAGTAGAAATCTGATTTAACATATCTGTTTGATCTTAAGTTAGTTTTCTAAATGTTACATGATCTAAAAGTTAGCTTTCTAGTGTTTGTCACACTAATTTTTACATTTGGTTTAAAAATCTGAAATAGCTATAATCAGAGCAGAAATATTTGAGATGGTATTGCGTCAATAAAGCGCACTGGTTTAAACTGCTGGGCTGGTTGATCGAAAGGTCACTGGTTCGAACCTGCACAACGGAGTGAGTTCCCGTTGCTCCGTCCCAGCTCCTGCCAGCCTTGCAGTTCGACAGCATGCAAATGCAAGTAGATAAAAAGGTACCACTTCGGTTGGAAGGTAACAGCGTTCTGTGCACTTCAGTGTTTAGTCATGCCGGCCACATGACCACGGAGACTGTCTGCGGACAAACACTGGCTCCCTCGGCTAGGAAACGGAGATGAGCACCGCCCCCTAGAGTCAGGCATGACTGGACTTAACATCAAGGGGAAACCTTTACCTTTAGTGTGCTTAAAAAGTTTTATTCAAACAAAAGCTTTTCCTAGCAATTACTATTACCAGAATGCTTATAAATATATTAAAACATGGCTGCTTCACTGTGGGTATTTTCCTTATATTGGAGGGAGGGAGGAAGGGAGGGGAGGATAAAGACACTGAAAACTACTAGTTTTCTAATTTTTGCACACCTGAAGAATTGAGTGCAGTAATATATGTGGTTTCCAGATCTAGTTACCTGAAATATGTTAATTAGAACTTGGATTTTAGGTTTGGCTAATATGGTTCTTCCAGTTGCTATATTTGACTTGTTTTGCTTCATATTTCTAATGATTTGAAAGAATGCATTTCTAAAAGCTGCACATTTTATGCAATTCTACATTTCTGATTGGTCGATGGATTGACGCTTGTAGCATATTTTATGCTGCATACTTCATTGAAGGTGGTATACATCAATATGGTGTACACATATTTGAAAGGTTGCTAAGTATTGTTCATGAGACACAGGGAATGTGCGTTTCGTTGTGGGTATTTGACTGCATAAAAAGGGCTGCTAGTTTTGTGGACCAGGTAGTTTTGATACTTATTTATTGCTATGGTTAAACCAGACAAGAGGCGGTATGTGCTAGCAGGCAAAGTATTCTACATGGAACAGAGACCTCAACTCCCCAAACAGTCTTGTGAAAGATATCTTTTGCGCTTCAGTTCCCCATCTTTAAAGTTGGAATAAAGTGGGAGAAGAACTTACTTTGCCCAAATTAAACTGAGCTATAAAGGGAAAAAAAGTAACTGTGGAAGTTGCTCTATCATTAGCTTTCAGTCTGCTTGCCAACTTTTTGTTTGCAGTCTCTTAGTGATTTTCTTTCTTTAGAGTAGCCTCCAAACTAGCCTTGTGCACAAATTTATGCAATGCGCACTGCAGCTGAGGAGTAGCAGTGGCATTGTAGAAACATAGCAGATAATCTGATTGTTTGCTTATTTATTTATTTAAAGTTTTTATATGCTGTCCAATACCACAATCTTTGGACAGCTTGCAAAGAAAAAAAAAGAAAACAACAACATACCAAACAAACAACACACTGCATCTGACCATTAATGATAAAATCAAAGATAAAACCAATTAAATATTAAAATGTTGGGAAAATAAAAAGGTTTTCACCCGACACTGAAAAGAATAAAGTGACGGCGCCAGGCAAACCTCTCTGGGGAGCATGTTCCAAAGTTGGGGCACCACTGCCAGAAAGGCCCTTCTCTTGGTAGCTACCCTCCTAATTTCCTTCAAAGAGGACTTCCAGGGAAAGGCTTCTGCCTGAGATCTCAAGGGATGGGCAGGCACATAGGGAAGAAGGTGCTCCTTCAGGTATCCAGGACCTATGCTTGTAAGCATACAGTTATTGGGGAAGTTCTATATGAGTTATGTGTATAAGAGAGTGACAGAAACTTTTTCCTCCACAGATATCTGACACTTGCATATGTTTCTGTCCTTAGCGATTTTTTCATCTCATGCAAGACTGATGTGAGTGACCTCCAGTGTTGTCCTGTCTTTTTCATCTTTGATTCTGGAAAGACAGGCTGCTTGCAATGAAATATACATGGGCATTATTGCTAGCCTGGGAGCTCTCTACAGGAAGGGGAAGTGTCCTGAGGCAGGCTGCTTCTAAGAGGAATCTCTGGCAAGGACAGAGAAGTGGCTGCCCCCAGGTAAAACTATTCCACATCATTCTCCAATATGATTCTGAAATAAAGTTCTTCAGGTTCCCAGAAGATTGTGCCAGCTTGACAGGAGGTCTGGATTTGGATGACAGTCTGCAGATTGTCATAGATAATTTAGCATAGAAAAAGCTGTGGTGCCCATACTCGGGGCTTCATGGTGTGTGAACCTGGTAACTCTAAAACAGTCAGTGGTTTATAAGAGGTGCTTATATGTCACAATAACTGGGTGTGGGAGGCATACTGAAGAAAGCAGCTGCATAGACAGCCTGTGGTGTTCTTCAGGGCTGACTGAGATATGTTGGGGCTTGAGGCAGACCAGCAAGTGCCAACAGCTGCTGCTGCTGCTGCTGCTGTCTCCTCTTGACATCGTGCATCCTCCTGATACCTCCATGGAGACTGCTGCTTGCTGCTGCTTCATCCTGCTGCTGCTTCCCATTCCCTGATGCAGAAGGAAGCTAGCTTCCTGGCTCAGGCACTGAGCGGCAGCAGGGACCAGATCAAATGGCCTTGGGAGTCCAATTACTGCCACCATGCAGGAGCACCAGCAGTTTGGGTGTTCTCTATCTCACATTTTTAGAGCTTTTTAAATATACATGTAACAAATTGTATATATCCGTTGCAGTGAACACATATGAAGTGCACACGCGCGTGCACACACACATTAAATACAACTTACTCGCAATTAAAGATAGGCTTGAACCAGACATTCAAGTATCCATTTGAAGGTGGTGTCCATATGCCATGCATTCAAATGTTGAAAGTGTTTTAAGTTCTTTAGTCCACTGTATTTGGTATAGATGCTAAATCAGCAATCTGCTGATTTATATATTTAAAAACTTTTCTGCTCTGTCTTTACCCAGAATGGCTCTCAAGACAGTTCACAAATCAGTAAAATGGATTTAAAATGGAATGATCTAATTTCCTGGTCCATTTCATCATTTATACCATTTCTATTGATAAGGCTGAGGGCAGGAGGAGGAGAGTAATAAAAGCCACTCTGAGTTCTTTAAAAAGTTAAAAAGTGGAATATCAATCAAATAAATAAAAATATTCACTAATAATGAATATTTACAGACTTGGACCATGGATCACTTTGCTTCACTAACTTCACTAATCGCTTCCAAAAATGACAGAGACTCTGATGTTAAAAGTGGGCAGGCCAAATCTAGAAACTAATGGAAGCGGTGCTTGTAACTTTTAATTAAAGATGATGGATCTTGTGATTTATGATCAGGCATATCTATTGACTTGTACTGCATTTTGGTCTTTCCCATCTGCACTGGAGCTTCTATCTTAGTCAGTTTTGGAGTCCTCTTACCCGGTTTCTCTTGCTAAATATATAGCCTTAGTATCTAGCCATACAAGAATACATAGGGTTCCTCCCACACTTTCTAAAATTAGAGATGTGTGAAATATAATGCCACAGCAATTACATTTTCATCCATTTTCTGATGTGAACAGAGAATGACTGACATGAACAGATGTAGCTATTTTTACTTTGGATCAACAGGTAGGTCCTAATGAGGAGTTTGTCATTTTCTGTCCTCTATGCCAAATATGACAGTCCTGTCCCACAGTGCTTCACGATACTGTATGGACTTTCCTCAGGGCAAGGCCTGGGTGCAGCTAGGTGCAATTCCTTAGAGCAGGGGTCCTCAAACTTTTTCAACAGGGGGCCAGTTGAAAGGTGCCAGTGATGGGTACAGGCCACCAAGGTGGTGTGGGTGGGGGGCGCGGGCTGGGTTGGGGGGCATGCGAGCACGCGTGGCGAGACCGGCAGGCATGCACAGAGATTGTTTTCTCTGAGCGAGTCCAAAACGATCTCCGCACGAGCAAGCTGCTGCTTTGCCATGTGTGCACGCGGCAAGTCCGAAACCTCTATGGTGGGCCGGATAAATGGGCATGGCAGGCTGGATATAGCCCATGGGCTGTAGTTTGAGGACCCATGCCTTAGAGAATACAGGCTATGACAGCATTGCCAGATTACCTTACTATGGAAGTAAATACTGTTTCACTTTTAAAAGTAATATTTTAAACAGCTTTTGCACAGCGATACTCTGTCAGGCAGCCACACCTGGACCCAGATTTCCCTTGGGGGAGGATGGGCAGATGGGCTGTGGTGGGGGGCCACAGATGATGGGGGCTGACTGGCAGTGCTGCTGCAGTGTGTGGCCTAGAGAGGCATGATCCTTTTCCCCTTCTGATCTACAAGCTCAGGCTCATACTGGTTTGTGGAAGGACCAGCCCTCTCCTTAATCTATTTCTCATTCTTAGAATTCAAGGTTGGTTCTTGTGAGAAGCATTCACATGAGCACAGCTCTTGGCAAAACCACTCTTCCTAGCAAGGACAATAAGGAAAATACAAAACATGATGAAGAGTCTACCATCCGATCCTTGGTGACTGTTGAAAATCTCTTTAAGAAAGTGTCTGCAGAGGCAAAAACAAAAGCCACATTCCTGCAAGCTTTGGACATATTTTGCAAGCGGGACATCCGCCGCAGGGGCCATGTGGAGTTCATCTATGCAGCCCTGAAGAAGATGCCAGAGTTTGGGGTGGAGAGGGACATTAATGTCTACAATAAAATCTTGGATGTCTTCCCAAAGGAAGTATTTGTGCCTCGCAATTTCATCCAGAGGATGTTCAACTATTACCCACGGCAACAGGAGTGTGGTATCCAGGTGCTGGAACAGATGGAGAACTATGGTAGGTTCACAGAGGGACAGAACATTCCAAGGGGCTGCAGTTTCCAAAGGGTTTAGCTGTGCTGTGGTCAGAGGAAGGGACTGAGTGTGACCTTCCCTGGAGTTAGCTGTTTGGTGCTAGATATAAGGATCTCCAGCTGGTAAAGAAGCTATCTTTTTATAGGACTAACTTATTTTGATGTAGACATTTTCAATAATAGGGATGCAGGTGGCGCAGTGGTTTAAACTGCCGTGCTGCTGGGCTGGTTGATTGAAAGGTCGCCGGTTCAAATCTGCACAACAGGGTGAGTTTCCATTGCTCTGTCCCAGCTCCTGTCAACCTTGCAGTTCGAAAGCATGCAAATGCAAGTAGAAAAAAGGCACCACTTTGGTGGGAAGGTAACAGCGTTCCGTGCACCTCGGTGTTCAGTCATGCTGGCCACATGACCATGGAGACTGTCTGCAGACAAATGCTGGCTCCCTCAGCTAGGAAACGGAGATAAATTGTTATCAATGATATAATACTGCATGCTTTTTTAATTGGACCAATAAAATATATCTCCTTATCTAAAATGCGCTGTTCCTGGAAACCAATACCTCATCAGTTGGTTGTGGCAAAACTATATCATTTTGGATAACTATGGGTTGTACTTCACTGTTTGATCTTATGAGTCATCTTGAAGGTTTAATAGTGGAAAGAATGGTGGGAAACCCCGAAATGATGGGGATACTTTTTGTGATAGCCATTTATATGAAGAAAATATGGACTTCTCCATTCACATATGCTGGCTGTGCATAGAAGAAAATGTTTTACATTTGGCATGTGTTGTATGAACAACTGTAGTAAAGCATGCTGAATAGAGAGCTTTTTATTTACTTTGAGGGATTTTTTCTGTTCTTTACTTTGTAGTTATTTTAAGATAGCCGACTGTGGTGGTGATGATGGATGATAGTATGTCACTGGGTTCAGACAACATGATAACCCACACTCAAGGGTTGAATATGGATTGAGGGTTGGTTGTTGTTGAACCCTGAATTCTTGAAACATGGGTTATATTGTCTCAGCCCAACTGAAATAGCAGACTGTGGTGAACAACCATCATTCACAAGCCAACAACATCATAATTTCTCTTGATGTATTTATAATGGTTAACAAGCCATGGTTTGTTAGCACAGATGGATTTGGGCAATATGGTAATCCACATTCCAGCAGCAACCCACACTCAGTCCTTGAGTGTTCATTGTCATGTCACTTAAAGTCAATCCATGCATTCTTGTTAGACTTTTTAATATGAGGAAATAGAACGATTTTGGGAGAAGTACCAGCATTTGTGGCCGAAGGTGAGTTTTATGGGATTGTCAAGTTGGGAGCCTGGACAGATGTCTGCAAGTCTATGTAAAGGAAGGGTCAGTATATGTGAGCCAGAGTGCAGAGAGGCGGAAGCACCAAGGAACCAAAGAACGTGTCAGTGCAAGGAAAAAATGGGTGATGCTTTGACCCTTTCTCATTTGTGTTAGGAAAGGCAAGTCTGTTGCAGGGATTTAGGGGAGCATGGCCAATCCTCACCCTTTTTGAGCACCCTGTCTCAGGTCTGATTCCTTGCTCTCCCTACCACATGCTACCACCGTCTCCACCCCTAGTTGACCAATCCAAGCTTCATTTTGATAAATGCCTTGTATTTTTTAAAGAGGCAGAGAGTGTTGTAAGAAACACAGAAGTGCCGAAGAATCTGAAAAAAATCTCTTAAATTTTGTTGCCCTCTCCCAGTCACATAAGTTGGCTTTAAGATGATTGTCTCTTCTAGTTCTGTCCTTTCATTATGGTACCACTTTTCTTAACATGTTAGTTCTTCACAGGAATACCAGCCATGTTGATGGCTCTCCTTCAGCCTCTGAAGTGGCTTTATAGGCATGCCTATTTAAAGACCCATTTAGCTCATCTTACCTTTTGCTATAGAGATACAGATAATGATAATGAAATGCACAAGGATAATGAAAGTGTGAGAACATCCAATTTAAGTGTAGAAATAAAGGTCATTTTAAACACCAGCATAACAGAATAAAAATAACCTCCCCACAAAAGTGTCCCCTTAACTGTCAGCCTTAGCAAAGAAAATTGCCACCACTGGTGAGTCAGTTTCTCACTACTTACAGCCCAAGTTCCAGACACTTGCAATTGTCATTTAGTAAAAACAAATAAATAAGAACTGGAGTTTCCCCCTACTCCTGATAGATTTGCCCTTCTTCTTGTCCTGAAGGTATAATGCCAAACAAAGAGACGAAGTTCCTGCTGCTCCAGATTTTTGGGGACAAAAGCCATCCTGTCAGAAAATTCCAAAGGATCATGTACTGGTTTCCCAGGTTCAAACACGTCAATCCCTACCCGGTCCCTGATCCTCTGCCACAGGACCCAGTTGACCTTGCGAGGCTGAGCCTGCAAAGGATTGCAGCTGACCTGGATGCCAGGGTCACGGTATATCAGGTAAGTCAAGACACTTGAGGGCTCCAAGTGAGGGAAGGGTTTTGTTACTCTTTGAAATGATGAGTAAGTTTTGGCAGCATTGCTAGGAGGCCTTGCAGTGGAAGGACAGTGAGCTCCACTAGTTCACGGATAAGTCACACCAGCTCCACTAGCACTGATGCCTTTTTGAATGGTGTATATCTGTGCAGAGCTTCCAGATTCTGTGGCGAGGAAGCCCGAAATCCTATGAGTGGGGCTTCAGTCCACTTGTGATATAGGCATTCCTATGGTTTTCTGTAGAGCAGGGGTCCTCAGACTTTTTCAACGGGGCCAGTTCACTGTCCCTCAGACTGTTGTGGGGCTGGACTATAGTTTGAAAAAAAATGAACAAATTCCTATGCTCACTGCATATTAAAAATAATTAAAATTAACATTAATTAACATTTAAAATTTAATTAAAAATTAAAAAAGTTTGCTTGCTTGCTCGGAGAAGGCCGCAACAGAGGTGCAGGAGCCCCAGCCCCACTCTGCCTCAGCCTATCCGCTGCGGGCTCGGCGAGGCAGCTGTGGCTTGTTCAGAGAAGGCCCGCAGCCTGGGGACATGGCTCACATAATTAAAAATAGATTTTAAAAGTTATATTTTTCTTACCTTCAATCCTTGTTTAGTGTCTTCGTCCCTCTCTCTCTCTCCTGCTGCCCTCTCTTCTGTTTCTCGCTCCATATTCCCAGTTTGTATATGTGTGCAATGGGGGCAGGTGAGAGCACACACAGTTGAACTGTTGCAATTTGGTGCATGTGCTGGCTCTGCTCAGTTTCAAAGAAGGCCTGCACAAGCTCAGAGCTTTTGGACTCACTCAGAGATCATTTTCTCCAAGCGAGACCAAAACCTCTGAGGCGGACTGGATAAATGAGCATGGGCCATAATTTGAGGACCCATGCTGTAGAGCCTAAAGGTGCATTCTTAAAACAAGGGCAGACCCATGCAAAATGGTGTAGTTCTAGGTTATAACTAGGAATGTCTAGTGATAAGAATTCCAGCTCTTTTGTTAACCAGAGAAAAAAGACGTGCAAGTTTCAAGCCTTCATGGTAATGAAGGATTCACTTGAAATTTTGAGGAAGTATCTGCAAAAAGTGTCTGCCTGAATGGTTTAACATCCTATTTCTCCTCCCAGATTCCAGTCATATTAGTATCTTCATATGACTATGTGCTGTATTGCATTATATTCTGCTGCTTTTGCCTGGAGAGTGAGAATATGGTAAAAAGAATAGGATAATGCAAGAAGGATGGCTGCTGGTTCTATATCCTTTCCTTAGAATCCACAGACTGATAGCTCTCCAAAGCATGCCTGTGGCCAGTATCTTTGCATTCACTGGGTGGATTAATGATCAATTGCTTGATGATTGACAAGCTATTTATACTGATTTTTTTTAAAGCATCACTTTTTATTACAGAGCTTTAAGCATTAGACTTGTGCTCTTCAGGTTTTTCTTTTTTATATTGACTCAGAAACTTCAGTTCACCAGGGGCATTTCTAGTCCCCTCCAATTCTTTATTCAAAAGTGGAAATAAAAGGTCACTTCCACTTTAATTTGCAATTCTTAAACTTGGGCTTGGTTGCTATGCTTCAGTTTCGTTACAGTGTAAGGCCAGACTGTCTTTGCCATTCTTACTTTGCGGGGGAAGAGAGCATTCTTGTGGAAGAACCTGTCAGTTACTCATAAAACTATTTTGACATTTACAGCTCCCTCATGTTGAGCTCTTGGACTCTGGAAAGTCTCTTCACCATCAACATATTGTAGGTACTAACTCCTTCTGGTCATCTTTCTTTATGTTGCATGCATAATTCCATGTTCCCTGACTGAGTGGAGTAAGCATGTTGTAAAAGAGGAAGAAACTGGCATATGAGAGGGTAAGTGCTTGAAATGAAAAGACTTAGTAGGTGTTCCTGTCCCCTCTGTTGAGACCAGAACACATTGCCTTTTATATGCTTTAAAGAGCACTGCACTGAAAATCTGAGAAGGTAGTCTGAAAAGTCTATTTAGAGACTTCATTCCATGGATTGGATCCAGGTTCATTGAGGCAGATGTGATGCAGGGAACAGGAGGATGAGGAAGTCTTGTTCTGCCAGCAACCACTAACATGCACCCTTTGTCTTCACTTCCTTTCCTGATATCTTACACTACACCTTAATCCTTGGAGGAAATGCTCCAAATTTCCCAGCTGGCTTGGCACCCTCTCCTTGCTCCCAGAACCAGGAATAAAATCCAGGTGAACAGAGGTCCCTTTGTGCAATGAGATAGTGCACTGTCAAATAATGATTCACAAATTTAATCAAATTCAACTGCTTGGGCTGCCACAATGCTTTGGTAAGGATAGAGGTGCTAAAGAGCGGGGACTGAAAGAAGAGATGCATCCAGGGATTTGGTAGAATAATATGGAAATCCTAGCCTTGATCTGCAGGAGTGCTGCTCTTGTTTGGATGCTAAACTCATCAGCAGACAGCACCTTGCTTCTTTGCATTCCTATTCTAAAACAAGAAAAACAAACTACAGTAGTACCTTGGCTCATGAACTTAATCTGTTCCAGGACTCTGGTCATGACCCAAATTGGTCATGAGCCAAGTCAAATTTCCCCGTGAGGGTCAATGTAAATAAGGTTAATCCATTCTGCAACTATTTTTTTATTCACAAAAATTTGAAGCAAAGTGAAAAAGAACAACAAAGTTTGCGGCCATTCCCCCCCCCCCCCCGATCTCCCCCCGGGCAGGGAACATGGGTGCAATCGCGGCCATCTCTCCCCCCCCCCAGCACGACTGCGATTGCGCCCATGCAGGGAAGGTGGGTGCACTCGCGATCGTCACCTGATGCAGAGTTTGTGACCTGCAGCAAAATTTTTAGGAAATTTCTGTTTGCAACCTGATTCGGTCGTGAACTGAGGCGTTTGTGAGCTGAGGTACCACTGTATATGATGAATCTAAGTTTCTGTTTAATTTATGAGAGAGCTGCACAGCAGTTACTTTGTTGGGTAATACTGGATTGCTGCTACAATCCCTCACCTCTTTCACCATGCATTTTCTAAGGTTCTGGTTTATAACCTGTTCTTTCTGCTATCTTGTCTGCTGCCTTTAGGAATTCAGAGTCCTGACCAGCAGTCACTCCTTGCTCATCACAATCCTGACAGGCCAGTCTTCGTAGAAGGCCCCTTCCGCTTGTGGCTTAAGAGTACTCGTGTATACTACTATGTGCTCAGAGCAGAGCTGTTGCCTCCAGAAGAAAGGGTAAACCATGTGCCCTGCTAAAACTTGCTTCATACTGGAGGATCCATTAGATCAGGGGTCCTCAAACTTTTTCAACAGGGGGCCAGTTGAAAGGTGGTGGCAGTGGGTGTGGGCCGCCAAGGTGGTGCCGGTGGGGGGGGGTGAGGGCAGGTGAGGGGGCGGGATGGGGTGCAGCGAGGCAAGGCAGGGACGGGGGGGGCACGTGGGGTAAGGCAGTGGCTTGCTCCCACGGAGATCATTTTCTCTGAGTGAGTCCAAAACGATCTCCATGTGAGCAAGCTGTGTGCCTGCGTGTGCGTGCACAGCAAATGCAGAACCTCTGGGGCAGGCCTGTTAAATGGGCATGGTGGGCCAGATGTGGCCTGCAGGCTGTAGTTTGAGGACCCATGCATTAGATCATTGTGCTGCGGTTTGCCAGATGTGTTTGTAGAAAAGGAAAGATTGTAATGGAGACCGAGGGATGTGTTTTGACGGGCAGATTGGTCATTCAGAGCACTAGAAATGGGTGATATGTTTCTAACATTTTAGACAGGATGGATGTATTTAATATTATATTTATTATTAATAGAATAATTACATATTTATATATATAATTGGACTATTCACAAAACAAGGGCTCTCTGGAGTATTCACAAAACAAGGGTTTTAAAACCGAAGAACACATTAACTTATTAAAACATAATATTGAAGTTTAAAACACAATAAAACTACAGTAAAAACAATGTAAAAGCCAGCAGCAGTACAAAGATCTTAAAATATACTAAAGTGATTTTTTTAAAGCTTGGGAGAATCAAAAAAGTGTTTCACCCGGTACACAAAGGACCACAATACAGTCTTCAGGCAAGCCTTTCTGGGGAGAGTGTTCTTAGAGCCAGGTTTCCACCACCAAAAAGCTTGCTCTCTAGTAGCTATTTGCCGCACTTGATTTGGCAAGTGTACCTGGAGAAAGGGTCTCTGGGCAGAAAGTGATCTGCAATTTGAGCAGATACGAATAGGAGAAGATGATTCTTTAGGGAATCTAGCTCTAAGCTTTGCAGGTTAATACCATGGGAATTGGCATGGGAATGGACAAACCACAAAGAGCTGGTATAATGGGATTTCTCCAGTGAATCATTTGACTGTCCTATTCTGAATCAGCTGAAATTTATACTTCATTTTCAAAGGTAGTCCCACATATAATACATTGCAATCTTCCCAAAGTATGGGAATGATTGCATTAGCCCCCTTGATAGGATCTCCAAAGGATACGGTCCTTTTACTGCTAGTTGCAATTAGCTGCATTTAAGGAACCAGAAGGGGCAGCAAATCAGACTTTAACTGGCAGTTCTTGAAGGTTAATATAAACATTTCATTGAGGTGTTCAGCACAACCCCAAGAACTTTTGGTTTGGTCAGTCATCAGGAACTCTGATCTTACCAGATTATGCATGAATTGGCTTTTTTGCCTCAGTGTACCTTACTTCTTTACATCGAACTGCATTTACCAGTTTAATGCCTATTCTTCCAGTTGGGAAAGATCCTTTGGAGTTTTTTGCAATCCCTTTTCGCAACCTCCTCCACACAGACTTGGTCACTGCAGTATTAACTCCTAATTCTACTGGTGATGCAGAGAAAGGAAACATGCAGCTGCTTCATGCTTATGTAGGAAGAACCCTCTTCACATGATGCAGAAAACCAATATAATGCATCTGTGTGGTTAGGCAGGCTTCAAGAAGGGGAGTCTGACCTACAGTTGTCAGTATGGATTTATCAGGGCAAACAACTTGCATCTAAAACTTGGTTGAAAATTGGGAGTGAATGACAAATACGTTGTTACTGGTTTTATTTCTGTTCCACCCAGTAGCTGAAGCTATCTGGGCAGTTTACAGCAGCACATAAAATAGAATAAAAATGCAGTATAAAATACAAATAATGATAAAAACATCATGAAAAATACTACAAAATTTAAAAGGCGTTTCAAAGGGAATTTAAGTAACTAATAACTAGCATAAATTAAAACAAGAAGACCTATTCCAACAGCTGATGTGACAGCCCAATGTATTATTTAGAACTGATTAAATGTCTTATTGTTGAGGACAGTCTTAACAGAGTTGGCTCCAAGGGAGTCTTAGCGGGGAGCATCTTTCCTACTTGGGGGACCATCATGAGCCTCCCTTGGACATGGCATTTGGAGGCAGACCGCAGATCTTGATTGTAGTGGCCCCAAGCCATGTATGGCTTTCCAAGTTAAAACCAATACCTTCCATATAGGCAGCCAATGCAAGTGGCCAAAATTGGTGTTAGGTACTCAGACTTTCTGATCTCAGTTATTAGTCTATCTGCCATGTTTTGCACAAGCTGCAACTTCTGAACAGTCTTCAAGGGCAGCTTCAGGAGGAGTACACTGCAGTAATCTAGCTTAGAGAATACCATGCTGAAAATTCCCAAGCAGTGTTGTACAAGTGCAACTTTCTGGAGTCAGCCATGCAGGTAGTAGCAGAACCATGCAGTACTCCTACTCCCAACTCTGTCAGCTGCCACAGAAGAATACCATGGTTGATTTTTTTTGAAAGCAGCCAAGAAATCCAGGAGTATCAACAGGGTCACATTCCCCTTATCTCATTTTTAACTGTTCTGCAATATTCTTTCAAGCATTTGGCATCAGTGGAGCATGGCATGTAGGAATCAAGCTGATATTGCTTTTCATGGGAGATTTCCTGTAGGATGCTGACACTCACTGAAACACAAGGGCTGGTGTTCTGCACGGTCAGGTCACTTTGTTGGCACCTAAAATCATGTCGTGCCTCCCCCACCCTTTTTCTGCTCACAGAAGGAAGAAGTGATTGACCCAGAAAGGAATTTCTACTACTCCATGTATCTGGATTTTGACCTGGAACGGGGTCCTTGGGATGATGAAGAATTTGACATAGATGAAGGTAGTCCGCATACTTGCATGGGCATTTTGGTTTTGTTTGTTTTGTTTTTGGTCACTCGACAGCAGAAGGAACCCTAGTAAATAGGAAATGGTCTGGACCATTCCCAGGAGGATGGATAAACTGATGCTTATGTATACCATTGCATCTTCACCATTCCCCATCCTGTTGATCAGAAGGTGGAGATATGCAAGTGTCTTCCTTTTAACACAGCACATCGGGCAGAAGTAAACTGACTGCCCATCCATGAGGGTTTTTATGAAATTGTAGGATTTGGGGAGTTGAATTGTTTGTGAAATCTTGTGTATGTGTCCTTGCAGAAGGTAAAAGCTTCTAGCTGCATTCCTTGACTTGTCAGTGGCTGAAACAACTGACCTTGGAGTGTCAGCATTTCCAGTGCGGATGGCTAAGCTGGGCTTTATACAGGCATACTGCTAGGATTCTTGCTGGGCTTTCTAGTGTTTTTGTTATAGCTGCATCAACGTTAATGTTTCTTGTGTTTCCCCTGCAGTTGAGGAGGGCCCTGTATTTGCCATGTGTATGGCAGGGGCAGGAGATCAGGCCACCTTGGCCAAATGGATTGTGGGCCTTCAGGAAACAAACCCTATTTTGCGTCAAACACCAGTTGTATTCCGCCTCACACCTAGTCCTCAGGAGCTTCAGGCAAGCACCAAGTTGGAAGACAATGGAGAAGAAGATGTGGACACTCAGCATCTCCACCAAAAGTGTTGAGCACCTGCTGATCCAGTTTTAGGCTACACTATAGTGGTGCATAACTTATTGGATTTTATTTCATCCCTGTGCTTTAAATTCCAAAAAAGGCTAATGCAGTCATCCCTTTAATTGGGTGGAATAGTTTTAGGTTAAATTCTAAGTAGGTGGGGGAGCATTGAGGGCATCTGCCCTTGCAAACAAAACACTTTTTCTTAGTTGCATTACTAAGGCAGCTTTGCTATAAGCTTTGCACAAAGTTGTTGATGCTGATCTACCATTAGCCTGTTCTTTTGCAAATAAAAAATCAAGCCAGGAACTCTTAAGTTTTAATCTCTCTTCTTTCAATTGTCTGACAGGCTACAGCTGTTTTCCCTGTTTTCCCTTCTGTTTGTCTTCCCCTCACAAATGCACATGTGTGTTCATCCTGCTTTCATAGTAACTGTTTTTTTAAAGCATAGGGATCTCCATTATTTGAGAACTATTTCCCTGTTCCCTTTCATCATTATACTCCTGGCAGTAAGAAAACTGAGCTTTCCTTCATCACATTGACACTGAGCTGAAAATACTGGTTTTGGTGTTATTTTGCCTGAAAGTTTGATTAGGGCCGAGGATTAATGACTGTGAAATGCTTTTCTGATACACAGCCGCTTTTACACCTCCCAGCACCATTGCAAAGAATGGAGACTTTGGATAACACCTGTCCTAATAAATCTCAGATAATGTGTCTGGGTTTAATATCAAGCTTGAATAGTTGTAGGTTATGCAAGATTGTGAACCATATACAACAAAACTCTACAAACTCCTGGAATGTTAGTAATTGTATTTGTTATAATTGCTAATTTGTCCCAAGTTTCATTTTGCATATGATGCTAGATACTTGAAGCAGAGCAACTAAAATTTGGAGCTAACAGTACAGTTTTGTGGTTTGTAACTGAGAATACAAACAGCTACTGCCTGTGATAAAGTATGACTATTGAGGCAGCTGCCTGATCTGAGTTCAGGGTAACCCTGCTGTTGGTATGGCCATCAACTGGTGGTTTTCCTAAGCAATTCAATACCTAAGACATAGACTACAACTCTTCTGATAGAATGCAAGTGAACCAAGAAACCAACCCATGTCCCTCCCTGCACATGCATGCACAATCTTGTAATTTGAGACAACCTTGGTGAATGAATGAATGAATGAATGAATGAATATGATGACATGACAAGACTCCTGAGAGCAGTTAAGGTTTTCTTAATATTGGGAAGCTGGTTAGGTGTAGTGGCATTTAGGGATTATCACAATTATGCAGAGGGCCAATACAGTAGATCTCTGGACAAGCGGAGCTGGAGTGATCAAAGATTGTCCAGTCAGGTGCTGTGCCCCAGATAGCGTGCTTTTTAAGCCACATAATGTGTGCCATAAGCAGGCATTCTGCATATTTACATAAGCAGGTCTGGGTCTGGCCAGGGCTTGGAGGGGAGATCACTTGGGAACTAGATGTAGCTACCTTGAGTCCCACAATGGGAGAAAGGTGGAATATAAATATAAGAAATATTCATGTGGCAGCTGAGCAACCTGGCAGTGCTGTGGTCTGCAGGGCCCCAGGGAGGGAGGAGAGCATCAGCCTGCTCAGCAGTACGAGGCCTCGGGACAGGGAGCAGACACAAACTGTTTTATTCTTGGGGTCACGGTGGTATAGTAGTAGTGAGTTTAAAATGCAAAACTTTGCGTATTTTTTCTTCTGTTGTCTAACATCAGGAATATGGAACTAGGGTGAAGTATGGAATGGCTTGGTTAAGGAAAAAGGAGAGAAAAGCTGTGTGCTGAGTGGCTGTCTTAAAAAGGGAGCCCATGACACCATCAAGTCCAGGATCCAGCAGTATCTAACCATACCTAGTGTCCAGATCCTGAGAACCAGAGAGCTGAGTGAGCTGCTTCATTCCAGGGCTAGATATTGAAGAGTATGGATGCACACCTTAATGCGGTGAGGGAGTTTGAGAGTGCTGAGCTGAGAGCAATGCTGTCAGGAGACCCGAATAGTCCCACTAGGGTAGTATCACTAAGGTGAAATGGTCAAGGCTGAGTCACCAGACCAAGACGTGTTTGCTCTCTTCAGGAGTAATGGGGTCACATCAGTAAAAAGAGAATGGATCTTATTAATGGCGATGGGGTTAGAGGAATTTCTGAAAGGCAGTTATTGGTCTGTGGCAGTAGTAGAAAATGATACTAGTAGGGCATCTTTTACAGGCAATGGTGGTGATGCTCAAGCTAGTTCTAGTTAGTACTGCATGGAAGAAGGCAATGGTAAACCACTGCTGAAATTCCTTCCTTCAAAAACCCTATGATAAAACAATTCAAAATGAGACAAGAGATGAGACCCCCCCTCCCCGGGGAGGGGGCAATTTTATCAGTTGCTGGGGAAGGGCAACAGGGTAGCTGTGTTGATAATGATGCTACTAGATGAAACCCAAAAGGAAGTCTAGTGGCTGACACACAGAGATGTGCAGCACTGGACTTTCCTTTCACAACACATACCACTGGGACATGGATTGTGAGAAGTATGAATCAAGGCAAACTGGAAATTGTAAAACAAGACTGTCATGCAGAGAAAAAACTATTACAATGATCAGTGCAAAGAAACGAGAACAACAAAAGCAGAAAAACAGCTCTTAGAGAAAATTCAAGTAATCAAAGGGAAATTCTACCTAAATTAGGAATGCTAAAAGACAAATAGGAACATAATATCTGAGCAGGAGAAAAAGAGAAGGTGGAAAGAATATACAGAAGAACTATATAGAAGAGATGACAGGATGGCAGACTTCTTTGAAACAATCCTATGAAGAAGGATGTGTAAGTGAAGAAAGCAAAGTGAAAGCTGCTCGGAAAGCACTTGCAAAGAATAAAGCGCCTGGAGTAGATACGATGCCAAGAGAACTATTCCAAGCTTCAGAAAATGGATCAGTACAAATCCTAACAAAAATAGGTCAACAAATATGGAAAACAACAATGGCTCAGAGACTGGAAATGTTCAATATACATTCCCATCTCCAAGAAAGTAGATGCAAAAGAGTGCTGCAACCATCAGACCCTTGAGTCAATCTCCCACACAACCAAGGTGATCCTTGAAGTGTTGCAGCAAAGACATGCCTGTCATCCAAACTGAAGAGGCATCCCTTTACCTCATATTGCAAGTATGAGCTGGCTACTGGAGCACACCAAACAATTTCAGAAAGAGATCAGTATATGCTTTATAGACAACAGCAAAACCTTTGACTGTATGGATCATGAGAAACTATGGAGGGTCCTGGAAAGCAGTGGGTATACCTCAGCACTTGATTGTCCTGAAGCATAATTTGTATCACAGTCAAGAATCTATGTTCTTAGTCCCGAAGTTGTGTCCGACCCATCGCGACCCCATGGGCAACATTCCCCCAGGACCTCCTGTCCTCCACTATCCCCTGGAGACCACTTAAGCTCACGCCGACTACTTCAGTGACTCCATCTAGCCACCTCATTCTCTGCCATCCCCTTTTTCTTTTGCCGTCAATTGTTCCCAGCATTACGAGGTGGCCAAAGTATTTGAGTTTCATCTTCAGTATATGGCCTTCTAAAGAGCAGTCAGGGCTGATCTCCTCTAGGACTGACCGGTTTGATCACCTTGTGGCCCAAGGGACTCGCAGGAGTCTTCTCCAGCACCACAATTCAAACACCTCAATCCTTCGGCGCTCAGTCTTCCTTGTGGCCCAGCTTTCACAGCCATACATTGCAACTGGGAAAACCATAACCTTGACTATATGCACTTTTGTTGGCAGGGTGATGTCCCTACTTTTTAGTATGCTGTCTAGATTTGCCATAGCTTTCCTCCCCAGGAGCAAGCGTCTTTTAATTTCTTGGCTGCAGACCCCATCTGCGGTTATCTTGGAGCCCAGGAAAATTTAAGAAGGCATTATCTCTTCTAGCTATTCTTTGGAATTCGGCATTCAATTGGGTGTATCTTTCCTTTTCTCCCTTGCCTTTCGCTTTCCTTCTTTCCTCAGCTATTTGTAAAGCTTCCTCAGACAGCCATTTTGCTTTCTTGCATTTCCTTTTCTTTGGGATGGTTTTAGTTGCTACCTCTTGTACAATGTTGCAAACCTCCATCCATAGTTCTTCAGGCACTCTGTCTATCAGATCTAATTCCTTAAATCTATTTGTCACCTCTACTGTATATTCATCAGGGATATGATTTAGATCATACCTGAGTGGCCTAGTGCTTTTCCCTACTTTCTTCAATTTAAGCCTAAATTTTGCAACAGGAAGCTCATGATCTGAGCCACAGTCAGCTCCTAGTCTAGTTTTTACTGACTGTATAGAGCTTCTCCATCTTTGGCTGATTTCTTTGTTGACTGTCTCGTGATGTCCATGTGTAGAGTCGTCTCGGGTTGGAAAAGAGTGTTTGCTATGACCATTGTATTCTCTTGGCAAAATTCTACCAGCCTGTGCCCTGCTTCACTTTGTACTCCAAGACCAAACTTGCCTGTTATCCAGTTATCTTTTGGCTTCCTACTTTAGCATTCCAATCCCCCATGATGATAAGGACATCATTTTTTGGTGTTGATTCTAGAAGGTGTTGTTGACCGGTTCTATGAAGGCCTACTTCAGCCTCTTCAGCACCTGTGGTTGGGGCATAGACTTGGACTACTGTGATGTTGAACAGTTTGCCTTGGATTCGAACTGAGATCATTCTGTCATTTTGGAGATTGTATCCCAGTACTGCTTTTCCTACTTGTTTATTGACTATGAAGGCTACTCCATTTCTTCTGAGGGATTCTTGCCTGCAGTAGTATACCTGATGGTCATCTGAATTAAATTCATCCAAACTACTGTATTCCAAATCACAGTTTATGGGGGTGAAAGCTGAATAATAAAGAAAACTGACAGGAAGAAAATTCATGCATTTGTAACAAAGGGGAGCTTTGTAAATACCCTGGACTGACAGAAAGTCTATCAAGTGGGTCCTAGATCAAACCAAACCAGAGCTTTCCCTAGAAGAAAAAATTACAAAACTTCATCATGAGAAGCTAAGACACACTGGAGAAGTTAGTCATGTTTGGGAAAGTCAAAGCAGAAGACGGAAGGGAAAACCAAATATGAAATGCATTGAATTCATAAGGGAAGATACTGCCTCGAACTTGGAAGAGCTGAATGGAGCTGTCATGGACAGGATATTTTGGAGGGCTTTCTCACATCAAAGTTCTGAAGAAAAGAAAGTGGGTGGGGGGATCATAGAGAATGGTTAAACCATTCCTTTTGCAGAAGATAGCAAGCAATTGTCTTTTGGCAACTCGCTAAAGAGATTATTGGCTTGGAAGAAAGTTGGCTATTCCCTATCTCATCCTCCCAGTAGTTTTAGGAGATAAGTGGTCGCAAGGCAAGACTGATAAAGGTCAAGACGACCTAGTGAACTTATCGTAAGTAGTGTGCATGCTTAATAGGTTTATGAATAATAACTGACACACCTCTCATAGGTAATGGACTTATTAGCATGAACATGGGATGTATGAGCGGGTGAAGGAACATACCAAGGAGTAGTATGATAAAGGCAGACGGAGAAGATTGTGACCTCTTAGTAACCCAGCCAATGGGTGAAAAGAGGCATGGTCTGTGCATCGGGGAAAGGGAATAAAAGGCAATGTCTTTTGTCTAACCGGTGCGCTACCTGTGAGGTGGGCGCCCGCTCTTGCAAGAATGTAGTAAACTAGTGCTGCTTGGTACTTTGTCTCCAGTGTCATCATTCCTTGGAACCTGATTCCGTTCCTAACAATGGGTCACCTTCAAAGGATGAGAGAGGAATGTCAGGCAACATAGGAACAGCTGGTATATGATAGAGAGTAAGGGATGGGTGTACCTTAGTCTTTAAATTCCAAATAAAACAAAGCCCACCTTAGACACATTAGGGTGGGCTTTTTTACACTTTTTTACACTAGGTACATAATTGTGGATGGTGAAGGACATGCACTCAGGATTTAGCAACAGGATGCATCTGAGCGGCTGCTTCCCCAGGAATTTGATTTGGCGTCAGAATTAATCTTTAGGTTTGAACAAAAGACTGGTGGGAGCATGCTGGTTCCATGATGTGACCAGTAAATTGATGTGGAGAAAGTATGAGTCCCTGTGTCTGTGGGTGGGTTCCTGCATGATGATCAGCCATAGTGGAAACCTTCATGGCATGGCTTGTCATTATGCATGAAGCCAGCAAGAATGGTAAAATGTGGCAAGGATGGTCTCCTTCATAGTGCATAGTTGCATAGTGGCTTCACTGTGACTTGTTTGCTCATCTGAACCCAATTTTTATGATTCCACATCGTTTCCATGTTTCTGCCAGTAAGTTTTACAGCAAGAGTGGTCACAACTGCAGCCGACACTCCAACTTTTACAGTGGTACCTCGACTTACAAATGCCTCAGTTCATGACTAAATCAGGTTGCAAACAGAAACTTCATAAAAATTTTGCCACAGTCACGAAGTCTGCATTGAGTGACAATCGCGAGTGTGCCCACCTTCCCTGCACAGGCGCGAACGTGGTCGTGCTGGGGGGTGGGGAGAGATTGCCATGTTCGTGCTGGGGCAGGAGATGGCTGTGATTTTGCCTGTGTTCCCTGCCCAAGCGCGCTCATGCCCATCTCCCCCCCCCCAGCACGCCCATGATCACGCCCCTCCCCCCCCCCCCCGCACAATTGCTGGGAGGGGAGATGGCCGCGATCTTTGTTGTTCTTTGTCACTTTGCTTCACATTTTTGAGAGTAAAAAAAAAGTTGCAGAACGGATTACCCTTATTTACATTGACCCTTATGGGGAAATTTGACTTGGCTCACAACCAATTTGGGTCACAACCAGAGTCCTGGAACAGATTTAAGTTCATGAGCCAAGGTACCACTGTATTCTCTTCTATCTAGGTCTGCCTAGCAACTACTGAGATGGCTGCAGCCAAGCTATGATTGGCTGCTCCACCCTCCCTTTTCTGTTTGCATGCTGTCTTCCAGATGCCCACCTGCAGCTTTGGAATCTGGGCTGCACCAGGTCATTGCTGTGCTGCCTTCAGCAGCAATGATCTTGGAGACAGCCATTGTTACTTATTTCATTTCTACAGGGCCCAGCAGCTGAAGCTCTCTAATGTAACAAACTTAGTGGTACAACTCTTCTCTCTTTCCAAGTTCTCTCTATGAACTGCTCTCCTTTAGTTGGTAGCAAATCCCATTCTATCTATCTATCTATCTATCTATCTATCTATCTATCTATCTGGAAGGCTTCTATGCCGCCCCATTCGCCGAAGCCTCGGGGCGGCTCACAATAATAAATAAATAAGAACAGTATAAAACAGTACAATATGAGTCGACCTGGCCTGAAAAATAAAATAAATAATATTAACAATTAAAATAGCATTTGAATAAAAAGGTCTTCGCCTGGCGCCAAAAAACAAATGACGGTGCCAGGCAGACCTCTCTGGGGAGCGCATTCCATAGATTGGACACCACTGCAGAGAAAGCCCTCCTCTGAGTACTTACCCTCCTAATTTCCTTCACGGAGGGTTCCTGGAGAAGGGCCTCTCCCGCTGAACTCAAGGGGCGGGCAGGCATATATGGACGTAAGCGCTCGTTCAGGTAGCCAGGACCCAAGCTGTTAAGGGCTTTATAGGTCATCACCAACACCTTGAATTAAATTATCTTAATAGTGAACTCAAGCAGCTGAGTGCATATTAGTATGAAAGCAAAATAGCTGCATTTCAAGATTGCTTTAAGAATGTCTTAGTCACTACCACTCTGCTGTATGAGGATAATGGACTTATTTAGAAAATTTATTTATTTAGAAAATTTCTATGCCGCCCCATTCGCCAAAGCCTCGGGGCGGCTCACAAAACTTGATTTGTAATGAAATTTGTATTGTCAGGGACATGTTGCTACTTCTCTGCATCAGTTTCAATGGGTAGCTCTCACTTTCACTTGCTTGCTGCGAGATCGTTTTGAACTCCATTGGAGAAAATGATCTCCTCGTGAGCAAGCCGACACCTCTGTGCCCACGCCCAGCGGCATCTTGCTTGTGAGGAGGTCATTTTGGACTCAGTCACCTCGCAAGCAAGCTGGCACCTTGCCCCATGCACCCCCCTCCTCCCCTCGCATGTGCCCCATCCCCTCACCAGCCTGCGCCCCCCCCCACTGGCACCGCCTTGGAGGCCTGCACCCACCACTGGCACCCGTCAACTGGCCCCCTTTAGAAAAAGTGTGAGGACCTCTGAGTTAAGTAAACAAAATGTTACATGTGCAAACTTACAGGGTTAGGGGGGCACTTTAGCAAGCCCGTAGAACTCACTTAAATAAAATACAAAGACTACATGTCAGATACCTGGTGATGAAGTGAGTTGTCTAACCTTAACTGCCAGACAGTGAGGCATCTCTCAGGACAGTGTACTGCTATTTATTGCAGGGCAGTGGAGCAGGATGGCAAATTTTGTTTTTCTGAGTGCACTGTCTATTCAGATTAGTGATAAGTTATTTTTTTTCTTTAGAAGAAAGGAATTCAAAAGATTCTGAAAAAAGCATTTCAGTGTTCCTACTAGTACCCACTCTGGTTTCTCTATTACAGTTTTCAGACCCTTCTACAATGTAACATAAGAATGGAAGTCCTTACACATCAATGTTTTAAATTCCAAATAAAACAAATTATTTTTTTTCACACTTCCCTTTGCAACACCTTCACCTAACTATTGTCAGGATTCTAGACTTGCTTGGAATGAATACCCGGATTCAGTGGGAGTATACAATCAAGCACTCGACATTATATCTACAACAAACAAAAATTCCTAAAGTACAACAACACTGATGGGTAGTCAGTATAAGACTGGCTACATGGAAACAGAATATGTACAAAATGTTTTAGGGCAAGGGTCTCAAACTCGTGGCCCGCGGGCCAATTGCCGGGAGGGGTGGGGCACAGGGGAGGGGCCCTGTGGCCTTCAAAGCGCTGGCGGCGCCCGGACGGGCCGTGGGATGAGCGGACCACCACCACCGTGGTGGTGGAATACTTGACGTGACCCAGCCTCACCCAGACTACTTCCAGCGGTAAGTTGAGTTTGAGACCCCTGTTTTAGGGAGTTGGGGTCATGTATACTTTTTCAGGGAGGGGGAAAGGAGACTTTGGGCATAATACAGAAACATCTCGAATCATGCATCAAGAGCTTGAGTAACAGATAACGAAACAATCAGAAGTTACAGAATTTAAAAAGTTTCAGTGTTTGCTTTTTACAGTCAGAGGTAGAAAATTCCAGAAAAACAATGGGGCAGCTGGCAGAAGCAGCTGGCTGAGATTTGAGGTTCCAGTTTGCATGTCCTGGGGCATGTCTCCTTTTTCCATACAAGGAAGCTGAATGAAAAACCCTGCAGAACTTGGGCGAGGACAGGGGGAGACAAGCAAAACTCTATATTCCAAACTATAAAACTTGTAACTTCTATTAGGGCAACTCCAACACTATGTCTTCTGTTTTGAAGCTCCACCTCTTTTGCTCACTGGATTTTCGGAGTTTTAAAAATAGGTATTTAATGAATTATGGGAAAAAAGAGGTCAGGCACAGTGAGTTAAAAGCAGAATAATATATTTGGTTTCTGAACACTACAACAGCTCCAGATAGAGAACAAGCTTCTTAAAAAAATTTTTTTTCGAAAAAAATAATCACGCCTGATTTACTAGGTTTAAGGTGCTACAAGGCTATTGTTCTTTTGCTGCGACAGACTCCTCTGAAAGTAGAAAACCGTAAATTTATTCTGGGAAAACGTAAACACAGGGTGAGCACCCGATAGGCCAAAATATCTGAAGGACCATAGCACCCGCCTAGGATTATGGGAATTGTAGGTCAAAGCAGAGGGCTATAAGCTGTCCACCCCCTGATAACGATTGGCTTTTACAGTGTATTACACGTCTTCGGGCGGATGGATATAATCAACTCGAGACCGGTGACGCCATCATCCTGCGCCGCAGCCCGCTCCTAATAACAGATTTCCTCAAGTGCAGGGTTACCTGGTTACCAGGCAGGGATGAGCGACTCGGAGCGTGGGCCAGCTCCGGGAGAGGAAGATGGCGGGGAGCTGGAGGAAGAAGGGGAGGAGGAGGAGGAGGAGGAGGAAGAAGTTGCTGTCGCTGAGGACGTGGGTGTTGAGTCTGCGCCGGGTGGACGGAAGGCCCGCGGTGGGCGGAAAGCCCGCGGTAGGCCGCGCCTCACGGAATCTGACCGGGTACGACGACGGCTTGAATCCCGCAAGAAATACGATGTGCGAAGGGTCTACTTAGGCGAGTCTCACGGCCCATGGGTGGACCTGAGGCAGCGAAGTGGCTGGAGTGACGCCAAACTGGCGGCTTACTTGCTGGAACTGGAACGAGAGCAGCGGGCCGGGCGCCGCGGGTGAGAGCCGGCAGGAGGGGGTGCAGTTTTATTATTCATTGTGTAATTTTTATACTGTGATGTCATTAGCATGTTTGGTGTTGTACAGAGGAGCCCCTGGGCCCAGGTGGCTTATAATTTAGAATGCTAAATGGGTGCCGGACAACAGAGTGGAGGGAAGATACTCACTTTAGTTGTATCCTGCAGGTCAGTAGGAGACCAGGTCTGAGGAGTTGTCTAAGGCGTTACGAAAATGCAGCCTTCAATACGTTTGGAGAAGTGGGAATGTCAGGGAAAGTGTAGAAATTCCAAGGATGAGGGATGCAAGGGAGAAAGCGTGGAGTCTTCTAGGGGAGCAGAAGACCTACGGTAGTGCACGAACAGTGGTCGTGGAGGCAGCAGTAGACTGTAGAGTGCTGGAGAGCTGTTTATTCACAAAATGGCCAGGGAACAAAATCAAACTTACAATCCACTCATTTTTAAAACTGTGATGGTGAGTTTCATTTCTAGTATATGAGTTGGAACAGAGTTCAACTCTAGAAGACAGCTTCAGAATATGAGTTGGGAGAATAAATCTGAAGTTAAAATAATGGTATTTGTTTATAAACGTCAGTGATAGACTTGGGCTGCAGCCCTATGTGTGTACTTCGGGGATTACATGAGCAGAGCTGGTTGGAACCGGATGTCAGACTAGATCTCCAGGGGGCGGGGGGGGGGGGCTTCTGAGTCGCTTTGTTTCTATGCTTTACTTAGGAATAAGTCCCATTGGGTATATTTTTGATAAATATGCATAAAATTATGCTACTAATGAGTTGCAGCAACCTCCTTTTAAAGGGTCAGGGATGAAAGACATATGGAAGGGGGTGCTTTTTGACCTGCTATTAGGCTAGTTCACTACCTGGCAGCTAATGAAAAAATATGCTGAACTAAATGGACCAGAGTATTATAATACCTGTCCACCAGAATAGGATCATTGTTCACACACAGGCACAAAACTTAATCAGTTTGGGCAGTGGTGTGTTTTCTAGTGCAACTAATATGTTTTTGCTGGCTGTATGACAGAAATAGGGGAAAATTAAATCTGTTAAATGTATGTTGTTTATGAGATTATTAAGGGCACCAAGTATGTTTCAGAATTATAAAAGTGGTAGCCCTTAATAAAATTTTCTTTATTTATTCATTAAAAGCCACTGTTTGTCCTTATGAATGCAGCACTGGACTGAATGCTATTCCTTCCAAGGCAGGTTCTGTGGACAGTCATGATTCTAGTCTTTGCTGACTTGAACTTTTGTCAGCTTATCTTTATTCACTCTGCACTGTAATTTTTTGTAAACTGAGTAGACTGCAGATAACATTCATAAGTGGAACCTGGGTATTATCAACAGACTGTCAAATTTCATCTTGAGTGAAATTACTAGAACAGCACCTTTTGAGTTCCATAGTTAAATCTCCACATTTTCATGGTGAACAGCAGTAAAATCTACAGAAAAATCTAGCAGGATTTGATCTGGGGGCAAAATACTGACAAACTGACGTATATTGATCCTCAAAATTGGTAGTATCCAACTGGGCCTGAAAATGGAAGGGAGGGCAACTTTAAGGAATGGCTGTAGAACAGTGATAGATCACATGTTTAATATGCAGATGTTCTTGAGTTCAGTACCATCCATGACTTTTGAACTGCTCTTGCCAGAAACACTGGAGAGCTGCTGTCAGTCAGTGTGGACAGTTTTTGAATTAGAAGGATCAGTTGTCATACTCACTATAAGGCAGCTTCCTACCTGCTCATTCAGTGGGTCAGTTTAGAGGACACAGCAACCCAGCATGAGTTAATTAACCCGTGAGGGGGCTGTGGCCTAGAATTTGAGGATTATTTAACTCTTGAATGGCCTTATCTGACTGTGTTCTCATGCAAGGACAGCCATGTTGTGCGTTTATAATAGTGAATAACATATGCTATGACCCTTGAGGATTAGTTAATCTACAGTGGGCTGCTGTGTTATCTAAATTAGTATCTTGCTTTAGAAATGGGTTGCTACAAATAGGTGGAAACCTGGACAGAATCCTGTGTCTCAAAAGGAATTCCTTTTTGGCAGTACATAGTTAATCATGTAGGGCAGTTTCAGAATGAAACACCTGTAAGGGCACAATCCTATGGCTGGTAGACACTGTCTGGTTGGCATAGAAAGTGTGAAGTCTCTACTCTGACCCTGGAAAAGCCATCTGAGCCTGTAGCAGGGATTCTGCCTTTGGAATGGATCCCTTCCACTCTTTCAGGTGACATTGTTTTTTATCTGCCTACTGGGGTTTCAAAGATGGAAGACTGTCTCAGGGACAGGTGCTGAAGTAGCATTCTGGGGGAAGAAAGGGGTAAGTAACTTTCCTGGCAGTGCCTTAGCCCCTCCTTCTCTTGAGGAGTGGGAAAACAATTAGATGGATGAAATCAGCTGTGTGAATGTTGTTGAACTTGAGGGAAGAATAGAATCAATCCTGTTGTCACAAACCCAGCTATATCCATGTAGCTATAGATGACCTAAATCTGACACTTTAAAGAAAATTCCCTAAAATAAAATAAAAATGGAAACAGTAAAAGGTTGAAAATACATGTATATTTTGCAGGAATGACATTTGGAAAGAAACTGTGATCAGATATCTCAGTGTTCTGCTCTAACTGATAATTAGAGGTATCTATTTAAAGTATATTCCGATTTATATAGATACTATGCTTATATAGCGAGTCCCTGTGTTATGAATGAATTCTGTTCCTGAGAAAATGGAAGTACATCATTTAAGTCAAATTTGTATGTAAATTGGATCACCTCTAGTCACCTCTCCACATTTATGGGGGTTAGGGTTACAGGACCCCTGTGAAAATGGAAAAACCATTTTATCTATAGGCTCCCTTCCTGCCCAAATTCAACAGAATTACTTTTTACTGCAAGGAACTGCTGGAGAAATTTCCTTCTCTGGATGGGTGGGGCAGGAAGGCATGCTTTGGAGGCCTTCTCTCTCTCTCTGTTAAGGATGATTTTCCACAATCATTTAAAAAAATTAATAGGCTTTATGGCAGTTTGTTCCTAAATATGAGTTGTTTATAACTTGGGAACTCCATGTATTAAAAAAAATGCCAACAGTGAGTTGTTTTTATAGAATACTCTATAGAAGTGATCACTGGGGCTGAACATGAGGTATTTAAATCTTGCTATGCTTCTGTTGTTGGCCTGATGAGAGAAAAATGCTGATCTAGCCCTGAACTTGCTTTGTGGCTTAGAAAGATCATTCCATTGCCAGTAAATTGGTATCTTAATGGATTGTTGGGCTACAAAAATCATATTGGAAGAGGTTTTCTCAAGGCTTTATTTGTCATGTCCCTTGGATACTTATACAATCTCATATAAAATCTCAAACAAAAGACTGCATTCCATGACATGCTACTATCTTTCCTTGCAGGAAGCCATGGGAGCAGGTGCCTTATGAGCCACAACGGAAGAAAAGTAAGTAAATGTACTTGTAATGGTGTGGGTGACATATTTTGTGATGTCTTCTGAGTTATTTTCTGTGCAGAGAGTGGAAAGGTGTGTCCTTTGTACTACATGAAGACCTGCTGGAGAGTGTTTTTTGGTGACAGGTTGATATTGGAGGTTTACAAAACTTGAATTTACATGTACATTTTGAAGTCTTGAGAATGAACTTATTCAGCACCAGTAAATAAGAACATAAGAGCATTAAGAAAAACCATGTTTGATCCAGCCAAAGGATCAAGTTTTGTCCAGCACTCCAAACACACAGTAGCAAATGAGCTGCTCACAAGATACATCAAGCAGGAAGAGTGCAAGAACTCCTCCCCTCCATGCTCCTCAGCAACTGGTGTATGCAGGCATGCCACCTTTGGTAAAGCACATAGACTGCAAGGCTAGTAGCAGCTGATAGCCTCTTCCCTCATGAATCTGTTTAATCCCTTTTTAAAGCCATCCAGATTGGTAGCCATCACCACTTTCTGTGGTGCCAAATTCTACAGTTTACCTATAGGTTGTGTGAAGAAATACTTCCTTTTATCTATCCTAAACTTCCCACCGGTTGACTTTATAGGATGACCCTGGATTCAAGTGTTATGAGAGAGGTAGAAAAATGTCTCCCTCTCTACTTTCTCCATGCCATGATTCTTTTAAACACCTCTATTACGTTTCCCCTTCCTCACCTTCTTCTAAGCCGAACAGTCTCAGTTGTAACTGCTCCTCATAGGGGAACTTCGCCAATCCCATGATCATTTTTATTGCCCTTCTCTGTACTCTTTCCAACTCAATGTCCTTTTTCAGGTAAGACAGCCACAGTTAAATACAAAGTACAGTCACACCAAAGATTTGTATAAGGGAAGTAAGATTTTGGCAGTTCTCTGTTCCATTCCTAATTATGCCTAGCCTAGAGTTTGCCTTCTTCATAGAAGCTGAACACAGGGCTGGCATTTTCACTGAATTGCCCCCCACAACAGACAGCTTTGGTTATGGGTGGTATAGAAGTGTAATAATAATAATACTCCAAGATCCCTTTCCTGCTGAGTCACTGGCTAGTTCAAATCCATCAGTGTATATTTGAAGTGGGGAATTTTTGCCCCAACATGCATTATACCACACTTGCTTATATTGAAATGCATTTGCAATTTGATGACCGTTCTGGAGATTCCTTTGCAGCGCCTCATAATCCCTTCTTGTTTAAACCATCATAAAAAGTTTAGTGTCATCAGCAAACCTGGCCACTTCAGTACTTACTCCTAATTTCTGATCGTTTATGAATAGGTTAAAAAGCATTGGTCCTAATAAAGAACCATGTGGGACTCCACTGGTGACCTCTCTCTATAGGAAGAAGTTGCCATTTATTCCTATCCTCTGCCTTCTGCTCTTTAACCAGTTAGTGATCCATATGAGAGCCCCTACCCTTTTATTCCATGACTCCTTAGTTTACTTGGGAGCCTTTGGTGAGGGACATTGCCAAAAACCTTTTGAAAATCCAAGTAAACAATGTCTCCTTGATTGCCCCTGTCTGCATGCTTTCTGGCACTCTCAGAGAACTCAAAGAACAAATATAGCTTAGTTAGACAAGTCTGCCCCTTATGGAAACCAGGCTGAGGTTTTTTGTTGTTTTTTTCAGTAGAGCCACCTCATTCTCTGCCGCCCCTTTCTCCTTTTTCCTTCAATCGTTCCCAGAATCAGGGTCTTCTCCAGCGAGTTGTTCCTTCTCATTAGGTAGCCAAAGTATTTGAATTTCATCTTCAGTATCTGGCCTTCTAATGAGTAGTCAGACTCTCAGGAGTCTTCTCCAGCATTACAATTCAAAGGTCTCAATTCTTCGGCACTCAGCCTTCTTTATTGTCCAACTTTCACAGCCATACATTACAACTGGGAAAACCATAGCCTTGACTATGTGCACTTTTGTTGGCAGGGTGATGTCTCTGCTTTTTATTATGCTGTCTAGATTTGCCATAGCTTTCCTCCCAAGGAGCAAGCGTCTTTTAATTTCTTGGCTGCAGTCACCCTCTGCAGTGATCTTGGAGCCCAAGAAAATAAAATCTGTCACTACCTCCATTTCTTCCCCATCTATTTGCCAGGAAGTGAGAGAACCAGATGCCATGATCTTAGTTTTCGTTGAGTTTCAAGCCAACTTTTGCACTCTCTTCTTTCACCCATATCAAGAGGCTCTTTAGTTCTTCACTTTCTTTAGAGTGGTATCATCTGCATATCTGAATTTCTTGATATTTCTCCTGGCTATCTTAATTCCAACTGGTGATTCATCTAGCCCCTCCTTTCTCATGATGTGCTCTGGATATAAGTTAAATAGGCAGGGCAGCAGTATACAGCCTTGCCGAACTTCTTTCTCAATTTTGAACCAATCAGTGGTTCCGTGTCCAGTTCTCACTGTTGCTTCCTGATCCGCATATAGGTTTCTCAAGAGACGAGTAAGATGGTCTGGTACTCCCATCTCTTTAAGAACTTGCCACAATTTGTTGTGATCCACACAATTAGAGGCTTTAGTGTAGTCAATGAAGCAGAAGTAGATGTTTTTCTGGAACTTTCTAGCTTTCCTATTTGATAACAAATTTCAACCTAATGGACTGGGAGTTCTGTAGTTAGTGTAACATTATCACAATATACTGCTATCTTGTATTTTACTACTTTCTCTCTGCATGTCTGCAATAATAGGGGCTTCTCTTATTGCAGCAGCCAGTGTTTGTATGCAACATGAAAAAATAAGCTGTTGGGAGGCATCCTTATGAAGTTTATATCAGAAGAAATTCACTTTCGGTTAATTTAGATCCACAATATTTATGTAAATGAAGTAGCTGCCAAACTACAGTAAACAAAAAAAAAATCTATCAACTGATTGTAGGCTTGTTAATCTTCTAATACAAAAAGTAAAACTTGAAAATTGTGCTTTTTGAGAAATGTTGTGTTAGCTTTCTTACTTGCCTCTAGGATAGCCTGGCATGTTGTTGCCATGCTTCACAATTATTGTGGAAACCACAATGAGTGTATACTTTATTTCCTCATTAATGCAAGATTAGACCATTCTTTGTCCTTTGCATTGCTTGCTAACTGTGGGAGTATAGAGTGTCTGATTTACTCTGTAGTCTTCTGGGCCAAACATTGACTTGGCAGCACAGTAGCTTATGGCATGAATCTCTGATACCCATAGTTGGCAGAATGAATTTAGCTCTATGAAAGGTAGGGTCAACAGAACATCTTTTAAGTCAGGCCACCTTCTTTTCACATTTTGCAGCCTGCAAGGGGTTGATCTCTCAGTCCCTTTTTTTATAGCCTACAAACTAAGGTGACCATTGGAAATGGTCCACTGAGCACCATCTTATGATTAGTAAAGGGAGTATGGATTTTATTAAATTCTATGTTTTGTGAATTGTCAGGTGTCTTTTGTTTTGTTGTCCACTAATTGACTGAATCAGAATTTTTGGTAAGGGAATTTAATTCTGCTTTTGCTAATTCCCATTGTGTTTGCTAATGTTTGTTAGTTTATTTACACCAAAATTGTTTAGCGGTCCTTATTATTGTCTTTGCATATAAAAAGAGTGAGTGTAAGATTATTTAATACTTACTACATGTACAATATTTTTTTCAGATGAAGCATGCTTTATCTTTAGATTGTTGGAGGAAGCCTTCTGTTCTATGCTTTTCAAATTTATATTATGTTTTTCCTCCCTACTCTTTCCCATGTCTCAAGGAAGAAGGAGGAATGTGAACTGCCTGAAGAACACAGTTATCTGGTATGAAGACCACAAGAACCGCTGCCCCTATGAGCCCCACCTCTCAGAGCTGGACCCCACCTTTGGAATGTACACCACAGCTGTGTGGCAGTGTGAAGCAGGACACCGCTATTTCCAAGATCTGCACTCCCCACTTAAGCCACTCAGTGACTCTGAGAATGAATGTGATAACAGTGAGTATGCAGAGTTCAGACTGCTTCTGCAAGTGAAAAACTTAAAGCAAGGATAAGGAAAGACTTCAGAAATTTAAAATGAATGGCAAGCATGTGGCCCTCCTGATATTGTTGGACCCCAGTTCTCATCATTCCTCACCACTGGCTGTGCTGGATAGGCTGGTGGAAGTTTCAGTCCAATGGCACCCAGGGGGCCACATATTCTTTATCCCTATCATAAATTTTTCTTTTTGTGGTTGAGCATGGCAATTGCTTTCATATGGCTTCTGCCTCTCACCATTTATTTATTTACATTTTTATACCACCCCATAGCCCACAGGGCTCTCTCAAAGGTTTACAAGCAAAACATACAATTAATGTTTTTCATCCCTCAGTTACTGCCTTACCTTCAAAATCATTGAAGACGACTAACCTGTCTGGGATTATATGGACACCAAATCACATTTTGGCACTTCTCTGACTGTATCTCTCACTGTGGATGGAAAATTGAGTGAATGAAGTAGCTGGCTTGTAGGACATGGAATTATCAACTCAGATTGCAGCAACCCAGGCTCAGGCTCGATATCTGGGAACGTTTCCTCATTGTCAGAGCAATACAGCAGTGGAACCAGTTGCTTAGAGAGGTCATGGGCTTTCCCACACTGGAGATGTTCAAAAAAGAAACTGGTCAGCCATCTGAGTGGGATAGTGTAAATTGGTGTCCAGTAACAGTAGGGGGTAGGACATGATGGCCTTTTTGACGCCTCTCAACTCTAACATTCTGTGATTCTATGATTCATTCACATGCCTATTCCATATTCAGCATGGCACAGCAAATACTTAAAACATTTTTTTGTGACACATGAAACAAAGCGTTAATCTGTGGCTGAATAATTTTCATTTATGAATAGGTTTTCAACCCCTGCACACCCAGTGGCAAGAAGAAATAGTAGTTGTGCTGAACAAAATTTTCATTTCTGGGCTTCTGAGAGTTCTTTATTTTAGATAACAGTACTGCCGCAGTGACTTTCAGACATCATACTGTGCCACTAAGCTAAGCAGATGGAGGTGGCACAAGTTTATGATGTGGTGCCTCGATCCTTCTGGGTCACAAAATGTAAACGGAAGGATTACACCATTTAAGATTTGCTCCTTGTTTGGGAGGGTGCTGTTTAAACACAACACTGCTTTGAAGCAAGTAGCACACACCCACCCACCAGCAAAGGGATGTTACATTCCACTGGTTACCTGGGTACCTGAACAGCAGTGGGCAAAATAGATTAGATATTGTAGTTACGTGTTTTTCCCGCATGTTGACCAAACAAACTCAGGTGAACTGATCCCAAGAATATGGTTCTTGATGAGGTCACCTGCCTGCTCAAGCAGAGAGTAGTTCTGCACAATCAGTCTGTTCCCCTGCACTGCCAAAGCACAATTCCCTGAAGTGCACTAGAAAGCTGTGGTGGCTTTGTGAAGCTACTAGATAGTCTTAGTGAAATCACCTTCTACTTCAATTTTCTGTATGATTGTATGAGTACCAAAAGAAGTGTTGCTATTCTTGTGACAGCCTTCCCTGACTTTTTGCCCTCCAGATGTTTTGGGCTTCAACTTGTCTCAGCTGCAGCCACTGTGGCCAACAGTTGTAATACAAATATCTGTAGGGCACCAAACTGAGGAAGGCTGCCTTCTAACAGATTATGAGTAAGGGAATTCAGGAATTGTCTTGCTAAATCAAACAAAAAGTTAATCCTTTGCAGAATTGACTCTAATAATAGCTAGTCAGATGTTCTTAAAATGGTTTTCAAGCCTGGATTTACCATTTGTTTGAAGCATCCATAATTGTTATATTATTTGTGAAGATGGAGAACAAGAATGGTAGAATTCGCAAGAAGATGTACTTGTTGCATGGATAAGTTCTCACTCATTGTCCAGAACGTGCAAGATGTGTGAGGAAAAGCCAAGTGTGAGGGCAGATGTTATTCTATAGGTCAGTGGTGAGTAGGCTAGTGGAGAACATAGCTGCAGAGTTAGTCCTTCTCTGGCAGTCAAGGAGATCCCTGGTAATTTTCTTCTCCTCGTTTTGCCTTTACAGTTGCCAATGGCACAGGGGCTGGAAGCTCTGGGTCTTCAGAAGAAAGCTCCAGTTCAGATGCAGAGGAGCAGCCAGAGGGCCAGAAGGTCAAGGCCCAGGTGCAGCAGCCCCCGACAAATGTGGAAGGTGGAAGTGCAAGTGGGCTCATCACTCAGGACGGCATCCACATTCCATTTGAGCACCATATTGAGAACCTGTCAGCAGAGCAGGGTGTGAATATGTGCCACAATCCATCCCTCAATGGCCCAGAGACAATGGAAACTGTGGTATGTGTGCCAGTACCCATGCAGATGAGTTCAAGCCATGGGACTCTGTTTGAGAATGTTGCCCAAGAGACACTTGGCGAAGTTGTGGCCAGCTGCCCTGTGCAGGGTGTAATGCAAGGCTCGCAGGTGATCATCATTGCTGGGCCCGGCTATGATGCCCTCACAGCTGAGGGGATCCAGCTAAACGTCACCAGCACAGGAGGAGAAGAGCTGCCTTGTGCCATGATTGAGGGTGTGGCAGCTTATACTCAGGCAGAGCCTGAGAATGGACAGCCCAGTAGCATGGAGGCCATGGAGAGCTTGGAATACATCGAAACCAAAAAAGGTAGCTTCCACCACCCACCTGGCTACCTATTCTCAAGCAGGCCAGGTGTGGTCAGCATGTGTGTTCTCATTAAGGTATATAGCTTTAATCCGCTGTGGTAGGTGTGGGAGTAGCACAGTTCTTGCTGTGGATGAGGGAGGGGAGGGTAAGTTCCCAACAATGTGTCTCCAAAACTGGAAAAAAAATCCAAGTTGTGTCCTTCTAGGATATGGAGGTGTCTCTGCATTTTGCAACAAATACTCTCAAGTCAGCTGCTTCTCCTTTTTGTAACTATGTTTATCAGAGACATATCTTATAATTGTATTGAAATTGTAGAGCAGTTCAATAGTTTTCCTCATCTTGTGATTGTTTGTCAAAACAACCTAATAACCAATCCCTTTGCTTCACATGGTATGCCGATAAAGTCATTCTATAGAAGCTGGATTACAAAGGGACCAACCATCAGTTGTATTTCTATTGGTAGAAGAAGCCAAACATGGAGGTCTGCTTCTGTTAAGCAGTCGTATTAGGAAGCATATAACTATCTAAAATGTTTCTTTTAAAGTACTGGGCTACCTAGACTGTATATTTAGCGCATGAACATTGGAAGAAAGACATCTTTTGGATTCATTTATGTTTGAGTCACATGTTAAACTGTGGAAGAAAGTTCTTTCCAAATAAGTCTAATCCAAAAACATTTTTACTAGCACACATCTATCCACATATCTGTGTTAGTCAATTGTAGTTTAAAAGAAGAAAGAACCAATCCTTACCAAGTTTATTTTATCTGGTTTTCCTGAGATGACAGCATGAGTTGTTACATTAAAAAATTGTCTTCAAGAATGAAGGCTCTTGAAAGAAAACAGATCCACATTTCTGTTTGGAATGACATGTGGTAGTTGCTTCATTCTGATTTTTACCAGTGGACCCCTCCAGGTTACTGCTGTACCTAATCAAGACCTAATGGCCAGGCCCAGAAGACTGACCACAACTCTGGTGTGTTGTTGGCCTGTTTAGATTTCTGTCACCCTTCCTGCAAGACCAGGTGCAAAAGATTCCCGGAGGGAGTGCATTTTAGGCCTGACTGGCCTTTGGCTTGCTCCTTAATGTGTCCAAGCTTCAGCCTCTGTATAACCTCTGGAATTTCCAGGGAGAAGGCTTCAGCATTCAGAATTACAATTTTGCTTTGTGATTGCTGACAGAAAACGAGGAGCTTTTTGAGCTCAAAAAAGAGGAGCCGCAGCCCCCAACAGAAATAGAGACGCCCTGTGACCCAGAGCCAGCCCATGAGAGTGGGGGGCTGGAGCCAGAGCCTGAACCTGAGGAAGAGACAGATGGCAACAACATGTCATCCATTATCTATGAAATTCCAAAGGAACCTGAAAAGTGAGTGAGCAGCAGCAGGGTGTTGTGGCTGTCTGGGTCGCTGTGTTCAGGGGAAGGGAATGGGTGCTGCTCCTGAACTCTGCTTGCTCTTCAAATGGAGATTGTGGAAAATGTTTATCTTTTGTCTTGTATAGTGCTGTGCATGTAATTATGCCAACCTTCAATGATCCTGGTTGCTTTCCCAGTGTTGCTGCTACTGTGAGACTTGTCATTGCCCAGAGGATTACTATTCCATTCTGACACCCTTGTAAACTTCCAGATCTGTGTGATGTTTTCATATGGTATATGTGCATGAATTTATTTTTCAGTTGGATCAAGCTCTAGGAAGTGTGGGGTGGCTATGATTATGAGGAAAGACAAGATGTTTTATCAGTTGGAGGTGGTCCACAACTGATTTACTGAAGCCCCTCCTAGATTCGGTCCTTTCTGGTTTCTGAAACTTCAGCTCATTTTTTCAGACTCTCCTCTATACCCTTAAAATTGAGTTTTTTTCAGGATTCTGGAAAAAACATTGCATTATATGCTTGGGTTGGTGAAGGCCCTTGATTCCTATTTTTTTCTTTATCTGCTTGTACAGCATACTAGGATGCACAGGAATGACCTCTGAGTTAATTATTTTTATTTTGGTTTTTCTGAGATGCAAGGGGGAAAGGAGGCTCCATGAAAAGTAGTTGTAGCTTTCCTGCAGACAGTTTTCTACCCTTTTTCTCCTTTTAGGAGGAGGCGAAGCAAAAGAGGCCGTGTAATGGATGCAGATGGCATGTTAGAGATGTTTCATTGTCCCTATGAAGGATGCACCCAGGTCTATGTAGCTCTTAGTAGTTACCAGGTATGTTCCCGTGTCCCCAGTTCTAACTACTAAACTGTGTCTCAAGTTGGAGAGTCTGATAAAGCACATTTTCTTAGAAGGAATTGTGTCAGTTCCCCAGTTGCTGTCCTTTCTCTTGTGATAAGTTGCTGCTTCCCTTTAGCATTCCCCTTCTTTGCAAGAAATCACTTTGAATGGGCTGAGCATAATGTTTCATTGAGCTGATGGGGAATCATAAGTAATTAGCCATAGTATCCAAGCCCATCTGTTGGCTGCTTGAGTACTGAAGACTCCCAGTGAGAAAGAGAGGAGTCTATTCTGATTGAGCATGGGTTCAGGTCTTTGTGACAGAGTGACTAGATCTTCCCAGTAGTGTGACTCCAGGGGCCAGTGTTCATCCCATCTCTTTCTGTCCCCAGAATCATGTTAACCTTGTTCATCGAAAAGGAAAAACGAAGGTGTGCCCCCACCCTGGTTGTGGCAAGAAGTTCTACCTGTCCAACCATCTACGGAGACATATGATAATTCACTCAGGTATGCTGCCAACTTTAAGGCCTCCTTTTGCCTCTGTATTTTTTTCCTTCTCTATCTTGGCTAGTTTTGATGAAACTATCTAGCTCCCACAGCTGGGCATGTCACAGCCTTGAACACAGGGAAGGACTAACCAGGATTTCATAGTGTTCATACATCTGTGCAGAATTACACAGTTGCATTCTTTTTGGCTTTACTTCTCTGATACCTGGAGCTTCCTTTCTGTCCCCTCCCATAAAACAGAAGTCAAGGAAGTACCTTGAGTTATACATGAGATTGGTTAAAGGCACTCTGCTTCAGACATATACAGGCAGTCCCTGGTTATGAACAAGTTCTGTTCCTGAGAACATCTTTAAGTCGATTTTTTATGTAAGTCTGATCACAAACATACGGGTCGTATTTAGCATGAGTAAATCAAGTGTTTCTCTTAGTATACATACATATTTAACCTTTCTGTACAAAACACTTAAGAAACACTTCCACACATGGTTGCTGTTCCACATTCATGGGGATTAGAGGCACAGGACCCCCATGAAAGTGGAAAAACTGAATATTTCTAGCCCCCACCCCAACCTTAACTCTTAATACTGTTAACCATGCAGAAGTTTCTTTTCTCCCCTGCTAACCAGCCAACGATGAACTAAGATATCCTACATGAAGATACCACCATGGCTACTTAAGAAAGCCAAGGACGGGATTGGGACCTGGATCCTGGAGGTGGTCAACGCCTCTTTAAGAGACGGCCGGGTACCTGCCCCTTTAAAGGAGGCGGTAGTCCGGCCAGTCCTAAAGAAGGCATCCCTGGATCCAGAGGTGGCTGCCAATTATAGATCGGTGGCCAACATCCTGTTCCTGGGCAAGGTGCTAGAGCGGGTGGTGGCGGGACAACTCCAAGCACTCTTGGATGAAACTGATTATCTGGACCCATTTCAGTCCGGCTTCAGACCCGGGTATGGCACTGAATCTGCCTTGGTCACCCTGTACGATGACCTGTGCAGGGGGAGAGACAGGGGGAGTGCGTCCCTGTTAGTTCTCCTGGACCTCTCAGTGGCTTTCGATACCATCGACCATGGTATCCTTCTGAACAGGTTAGTGGGTTTGGGAGTTGGAGGCACCTTGTGGCGGTGGTTCCGCTCATATCTCAACGGCCAATTTCAGAAGGTGGTGCTCGGGGACTATGGCTCTGCGCCATGGCAGTTATGCCATGGAGTTCCGCAAGGGTCCATTTTGTCCCCTTTGCTATTTAACATCTGCATGAAACCGCTGGGAAAGGTCATCAGGTGTGGGCTGCGGAATCATCAGTATGCTGATGATACCCAGTTCTACCTCTCGTTTTCCACCAATCCAGGTGAGGCAGTGGCTGTGCTGAACTGGTGCCTGGCCGAGGTAATAGACTGGATGAGGGCCAATAAACTGAAGCTCAATCCAGACAAGACGGAGGTCCTGTTGGTGGGTGGCTCGGGCCTCGGGATGGGGGACTTGGGCCTTGTCCTAAATGGGGTTGCACTCCCTCTGAGGGACAGGGTTTGCAGCTTAGGAGTGCTCCTCGACCCTGAGCTGTCTTTGGAAGCTCAGGTGACGGCGGTGGCGAGGAGCGCCTTCCTTCAGCTTCGGCTGATACATCAGCTGCGTCCCTTCCTAGAGCATGACTGCCTGGCGACAGTGACACACGCGCTGGTAACTTCCCGATTAGATTTCTGTAACGTGCTCTACGTGGGGCTACCCTTGAAGATGGTCTGGATACTTCAATTGGTGCAAAATATTGCTGCCAGGTTGCTGACGGGGACTGGGCGTTGTTCTCATATAACCCCAGTTCTCCGTCAGCTCCACTGGCTCCCAGGCCCAATTCAAGGTGTTGGTTATGACCTATAAAGCTGTAAACGCCTTGGGACCTGGATATCTAAAGGAACGCTTGCGCTCATATATGCCCTCCCCGCCCCTTGAGATCAGCAACAGATGCCCTTCTCCAGGAACCCTCTGTGAATGATATTAGGAGGGTGAGTACCCGGAGGAGGGCTTTCTCTGCGGTGGCGCCCCATCTGTGGAATGCGCTCCCCAGAGAGGTCTGCCTAGTGCCGTCGTTATTTGTTTTTCGGCGCCAGGCTAAGACCTTTTTATTTAAAACTTATTTTAATTGTTAAATTATTTAATTAATAGGATTTTAAATTTTTAGCCTAGAATGCACTGGGGGTTTTTAAACAATTTTTTTAAATTTGTTGTATTGTTGTTATTTATGTATTTATGTATTGTTTGTGAGCTGCCCTGAGGCTTTGTTGCAATGGGGGCAGCATAGAAATGTTTTAAATACATAAATAAATAAATAAATAAATAAATAAATACTGGATTGCTTCTCCCTCTCTTTCTCAGACCTTGGTCTGATCCAGCAGGGCTCCCCTGCTTCATTTATTATCTTATGTTCTTATTCCACACCCTCCTTTTTACTCACCAGCGCCACCTCTTTGCCCAAGGAAATGCAGGAGGGATTTTCCTCTTTGGATGGGTGGGGGAAGAAGACATGCTTTAGAGGCCCCACTTCCCTTTTGCTTCCTCTTTCTCTGTGGTAATGCTTATTTTCAGCATTTCAGCAAAACTCCCAAGGTTCTGGCATTCATTACTACAAACTGTTTCTCTTTAACTTGAATCTTTAAATTAATAGGCTTTATGGCAATTTTTTGTAGTCTGGGGATTGTCTATATATTGCGGGAAAAGAAATTAACAAATTCTCACATAGAAAAGCAGATAAAGTATCAAGATGGATTCCCAAGTGGAGGAGAAAAAAAAAAAAAAAACAAGTTAAACTGAGACTTGATATGCAAGAGCAGAGATAGCTGTAGGAAAGCTGTGGGGCAGGGTTGCCTAGACTCCTCAGAACTATTTCTCATTAGGTACAGTGTAGTTTGCCATATCCATAATCTCCCTTATATCATAAAACAGGACTCTAACAAGCAAAATAAATAGCTAAGAATGATGCTTTCCCACAGAAGATTTTTATTTTTTATTTTTGGAACCAAATACCTGGTTCTAAAAAACTAGTCTGCCCTCAAAGCCTGCTCTCTTTAGTCCTTTTGCTGAAGTTTTCCCATTGTCAGCTACAAGAAGCACAGAGACAATACCCACACTTTATGGTTTAGCTTTGGGATGATCACAGAGTAAGCCAGGAATGGTAAAAACCATTCCCAGACAAAAATGATAGACATTTTTGTGTACAATATGCATTATATAGTTAAAATAACCCTGTCTGAGCAAGGCTGTGGTCCCTCTTCTTCCCCCATTCTACAGATCATTGTTGCTGTTGCTAGTCGCGAAGTCGTGTCCGACCCATCGCGACCCCATGGACAACATTCCTCCAGGCCTTCCTGTCCTCCACCATCCCACAGAGTCCACTGAAGCTCATGCTGACTGCTTCAGTGACTCCATCTAGCCACCTCATTCTCTGCCGTCCCCTTCTTCTTTTGCTTTCAATTGCTCCCAGCATTAGGCTCTTCTCCAGGGTGTCCTTCCTTCTCATTAGGTGGCCGAAGTATTTGAGTTTCATCTTCAGTATCTGGCCTTCTAAAGAGCAGTCAGGGTTGATCTCCTCTACTCGTAAGACTGAATGGTTTGATCTCCTTGCAGTCCAAGGGACTCACAGGAGTCTTCTCCAGCATCACAATTCAAAGGCCTCAATCCTTTGATGCTCAGCCTTCCTTATGGTCCAACTTTCACAGCCATACATTGCAACCAGGAAAACCATAGGCTTGACTATACGCACTTTTGTTGGCAGGGTGATGTCTCTGCTTTTTAGTATGCTGTCTAGATTTGCCATAGCTTTCCTCCCAAGGAGCAAGCGTCTTTTAATTTCTTGGCTGCAGTCCCCATCTGTGGTGATCTTGGAGCCCAGGAAAATAAAATTTGTCACTACCTCCATTTCTTCCCCATCTATTTGCCAGGAAGTGATGGGACCGGTTGACATGATCTTAGTTTTCTTAATGTTGAGTTTCAAGCCAACTTTTGCGCTCTCCTCTTTTACCCACATCAAGAGGCTCTTTAGTTCCTCTTCACTTTCTGTGTTAGAGTGATATCTTCTGCATATCTGAGGTTGTTGATATTTCTCCCAGCAATCTTAATTCCATTGAAATTACCCAAGGCCATTCAGTTACCCAAGGCCATTCAAAGGTTTCTCCAGCTATCTGATCGCTGATCCTCCAGCCCAGTCACACTCATGATCTTGTACTCTGTTTCCAGTATTGCATAAAGAGCTTCCTGGGTGAGCTATCCATCATACCACACTGGCGCTATCACAATGCACTGACTTAACAGGATATTTTTATTTCAGTTCATTTTATTGGTCCAGATTCTGTATAATATGAGCATTGTATGAAAATTTGGATCACCCATTCTCTAGCACAATTATATCTCTAGTAGAATTATTTGAAACAGGCAGTGGGCCCAGTTAGAATGTTAGTATCATATTGGGCAAGTTACCATATTTTTCGCTCTATAAGATGCACCTGACCATAAGACGCACCTAGTTTTTAAAGGCGGAAAACAAGAAAAAAAATTCTGAATCAAATGGTTTACTAAACTATTTAATAAACTATAACAGAATACAGTAATACCATATTTCAACCTTGTAAAGTGAACAGCAGTCAACAGTGGCATTAAGAACCATCATCACTGTCATTAACAAAAGAGAGACTTTAAAGTTCGAGTACTCTTCTAGTTTTCGTTGAACCCATAGAACTCATCATCGGTAGAGTCAGAATTTATGAAGCTCTGTTGCTCACAATCACTGACATCATTTTCTTAGTCAGTAGTGGAATTATTGAAGGAATCCACAATCTACACCAGTTATACAAGAGCTGCTGCAGACAGTTCAATAACAAATCTAAAAAAGCCAGTAATGTCCACGCTGCCCTAGTAGTAAATAATAGAAAAAAACTTCTGACAAAAAATGAGATATTGTACGGTAAATCAAACACACAGCGGACTAAGTAGCCTTTGAAGAATAAACTTCATACACGAAGGTAATGCTGTTCAAATATCCACTGATCCTAAAAAAAAATGTGTCTGATCAAATAACAGATATTGGTCCTTCTATTAACTTAATACAGCAGGCACTGTTCTGATCCATGGAAAGCTTCTTGATAATCACAGGCACATTCCCCATCACTTCCCCATGGGCTTCATTAAAAGACTTGAAAACACACACCGACCTGTGGGCGGTGGGGGTGGGCAGTCCGTCCCAGTCCGTCTTTCCGTGGCGGCCGGTGGGTTAAAGCCTGCGGCTCCTGCTCCTCTGCACCCCTCCCCCTGAGTGGCACAGCTCTCACGTGCGCCGGGGGGGGGGGTCGGAGCAGGGCGCGCCAAGCGCGTGCCAGCCAGGTGGTGCCAGGTGGTGCAGGCGGGCCGGCAGCGTCCCGGCGGTGGTATTGCATGTTCCAGGCATCGGGCACACCATGCTGCACTCCTGACAGACTTACTGCACACACACATTCACTCTATAAGACGCACAGATATTTCCCCTTACTTTTGAGGGGGAAAAAGTGCGTCTTATAGAGCGAAAAATATGGAAATACAACATAGAAACATAAAAAACTGAGCAAGTTAGAAGGGGCCTCCTGGGCCATCTAGTCTGACCCCTAACATAGCAACCAAACTTGTGTTTCTTTATTTTTTTTTTCCATCCAAAAAAGATGCTCAGATTTGCCAAAAGAAAGTGCTATGGAAAGGGAGTAGGATGTAGATGTTCCCTTTCTGGCATACCTAGAAAAGCTACAATGGACTGAGGACAGTTAGGGCAGTACTAAAAGAACTAGACTAGAGGATCGCACCTGAAAGGGTCAGCTACACTAACACAGCCTTTTCAGGGAAAAAAGCCCTTTTCTACTTTGCTTTTCAATTGACAGCTCACCAGTTGGCGATTAGCAAATATATGCTAAGCAGCCAATATACTTGGTCCATGTCCTTGGATGTTGTCTAGGGCATTAGGACAGCAGTTGCATACCAAAACATTCGCTGGAGCAGGCTCCATATTTTGGGCAGCCATAGGTGTGCAACAGTAAAAGACTGGACAAATAATAATAATTTGCAAACAAAAGCCAACACAGTTGCGCTGCCTTCTCTCCAACTGCCAGAAAAAAGAGGGCACAGCTAACAAGAGTCACTCCAAATTCCCTCTTGGGCATCAGTAGAGTGGCTGTCACTGATGGTGGTACAAACAAGATTACCAAGAACAACAAGGTATTTTTGCTGTTCTTGCTGAGTGCTCCAATCCCAGCAACCTACCATGGGATCAATTTCCTGTGTTTGGATGATGTACCCATCCTCTGCAGTAATCCATGGGTGGTCAAAGTGACTTACTACTTCAGGACAAGTCACCTTGTGGGAAGTGTGCGTCAACCCACTGTGGCTTGTTACCCATGATGGATTGCTGTGTTGTGTGAACTCAGTCATTGTGTCTTGGCTGAAAGAAAAGTCTTTTGTAACTTCCATTAGGAATTAATTTAAATGTTAAGCTCTATTTGCATTATGCTAAAGAATATTGTTGACCAGCCTTTCACTGGGGTCAGTTGCTGAACTGTCTTAAAACCACATTTCTTTGATGTCCAGTCTTTCTCAGATTGGGCTGTGAGGAACTCTAGTTCTCTCCCTCCCACTCCCTCCCTCCATATTTTAGAAATTTAGACTTGGACATCACTGGAAAAATAAACAAAGCAAAATTTGGTTGTGTGTGAAACCATTTTCCCTTAACTTTTCCATACATCTCTGGGGGAAAATGGGAAAGAACACTTTTCCACCAATTTTAATCCTAGATAACACCTACACATTTTTATGGGTTTTCCTAGGACTTCACATCTAATTTGCACTATGAAGCAAAGTTATAATTGTATGCAGTACTTTCATTTCTCCAAATGGCTGATATGCCACACATGGGCCCAAAGCTATTCTGTGGAAACCAGGATGCTGAGTGTACTTGACCTCCTCTGTAAATTAAAAAAGAAAGTAACATGGGTTCTGCTACTGGCTGGTCACGGGAAGCAGAGTGAGGTGTGGGGTAGCATTGAAATGGCAGGGGGAGCTAAGACAGTATATCTGGGGGATAGGAGGAGAGAAACTAGAGAGGCAAAGCACCTACTAATGTTTGTGAGGGGTGTCTGGAGGGCATCTTGCCTAGGGTCCCTCCTGCCTTGTAAATGCTACTGGGGAGGAGCAGCTTCTTCGGGCTGAATGTGAAGTGGTATGGGCTGAAGGACATGCATAGGAGCTAGAGGAGTGAATGTTCAGAGAATGCATGAGCTTACAACTGTAGCATGGCTTCATAAAAATTGAGACAATGCCATATTTCTTTTGAGGGTGTGATACATAATTGATTCCTCAGATTGTGTTCAGCTTCTGGAGGGTGCATGGCATCAAGCAGTGCTGTCTGCCCCGGCAAGTGCCTTGCAGAAGATGATAGGTCCCAGTCCCTGGATCAGAGTGGCCTATTGAAGATGCTTCCTTCCTGTGATGGACTGACACATTTTGCTCCACATTTCATCTAGGGGTCCGTGAGTTTACCTGCGAAACGTGTGGAAAATCCTTCAAGCGGAAGAACCATCTGGAAGTCCATCGCCGAACACACACAGGAGAGACACCTCTCCAGTGAGTGACGTGGAGTTGGGGCATGAATAGAAAGCCTCCGGGCTGAGCCATTCTCTAGCACCTGATCATGAGGGTGAGGTCTGTGGCACCTGCTTGCTGTTGCCTTCCTTGTGAGAGTTGGAAAGCTTGGCAAGATAGATCACACGGCTGAGCCTGACTGGTCTGCTCTTTTGCCCCTAGTAGCTTCACAGACCAAACAGAGTTTTAACACAGGGCTGATAATCGAGTCATTAAAGATGTCTTTGTTTTTTAATGACTTGAGGTTATGGCATGGCATGTCTGGTCCACTGGCATGCTGATGACTGGGAGGGAGACATGGGCAAAACAGCAGCTTCTTTGGGTTTTTCTTTTTGTACCTTGTAATACCTTGTACATAAAGACTGGAGTTGAGCGAAATGGAGATGGAGTATTCCAAGAGGGGTTGGAGTTTCCATTCCTTGAGTAGGCAGGGATATTGATGAAAGGTTTTCTATAAAACAATTCTTAAAGGAACCCTGAATAAACCATTTAATGATTGTCATATTATCTTAATAGCGTTAAATATATTTCAGAGTAAAGAGATGCAGATTATTTACAGGAGTTCCATCAGCCTCCGTGGCTTTCTGTCAAAGACAGCATTGGCTTAAATCTTTGGCTGCAGAGCTAAGCAGTGCATTAACCTGACTGACTGTATCCATAAAGCCTTGTCTAGAGCTTGGTGTTAAAGCCTTTAAAGTGCAGAGTTCCACTCCTGATGAAAGCTACTGCCAATCTCACTGGGTGGTTCCTCTGCCATATCTGAGGTATAATACAGTAGCTGGTTGATTTGCTCTGATTTTGTCTGTGTGCATACAGTTTGAAGGGCTGGCAGCAATAGTTGGTGTTGGTGTTGGGGCTGTAGGCTGTAACTGCTCCCACATATTGGAGATCAGAAGAGTGATAGTTGCTTCCTTCTGCAGGTGTGAGATCTGTGGCTACCAGTGCCGGCAGCGGGCCTCTCTCAATTGGCATATGAAGAAACATACCTCAGAAGTCCAGTATAACTTCACTTGTGAACACTGTGGCAAGCGCTTCGAGAAGCTGGACAGTGTCAAGTTCCACAAGCTAAAGAGCCATCCAGATCACAAGGCTGCCTGATCCTGACCATGGACCACTTTATTTATTATCCCACCAAAAGTCCCAACCTAACCAAGGGCACTTCTTGCACATTCACAGCTGGAGATGTGGTGTGTTCTGCGTATGGCAGGGCTCCATCCTGTAACATGGGGCACCTCCTTAAGAGCAGATGGTGACAGGCATAAATGTTTTAGTTCTGATGTGCTAGTGTCAGTGTTCTCAGGTATTGTGGGGTGGAGGAGTATTCAAACAGCATCAAATCACTCATCCTGTAACTGGAGATTGTGGTGCTTCAGCTGTTCTTTCTTTTCAAGGGGAAGGGGTGCTATGAGCATAGGAAGAAGAATGTTAGCCAATTAAAGTATCTGTCCTTTGCTATCTGCTGAGCGGCACCTTTGCTTGTGTGACCACTTTATGCTTGGTGTGAGGCAGGAATACAGCAGAAGGGAGCTGTCACTGACAGATGAAGACTGCAGAGGCTGCTTCCAGTATAAGAACCCCGGGTCACATTCACATGATGAGATTGACTCTCTTGAGAACAATGCAAGATGCAACACTTACAAAAAGGTGTCAAGGAAGGTTATTTGCTGGTTTGCACCAGACATTGTTCTTGGAAGCTGCCTCTTCCTCAGCTTTTAGTGCTATTGAAAGACACATCAGAATTGGTCTGCATGTATCTTTTCCTGAAATGTTAGTACCACAAAAAGCCCAAGTACATGGTGGATAAAATCTTGCTCCAGAACTGTCAGAAGTGTTCTAGGCCTCTGTCGCTGAGCTTTGGGGCTTGTCATGTTCAAAGCTGTGGCTTCTATTGAAGTGCACCAGGAATATTAACTTTCATTTAAAAATATTAAACCAAATTTTATTCATACAATGGCTATCTGCATACCTATAGGAAGCCCACAGGTAGGGTATAAGTGCAATAACATACTCTTACTTGGGTTTTGCAGTGACTGGCAAACAGAAACATCCTCCTCTTGATACTGGGGGCAATATACAACCATCAATCATATCCTCCATGAATGTGACTAATCCCTTTTAACACCTCTGAGTTGATGACTGTCACCCACTCTCTATGGGAGCAAATTCCATAGTTAAACTTAATTGCACTGTGTGAAAAGGTACTTCTTGTTGTCCAATATATTCTGCCACTCACCTTCACTGGGTAACCAATGAGAGTGCTAATATCCTGAAGGAAGGAGGAAAAAACTTTCCCTACTCACTGTCCTGCTCTGTTTTCTAATTCTGTTTTATAATCCTTGTAACTGTGAAAAATATGAAAAGGCTGCTGTTGGGAATTCTTTCAGAATTGACATTCTGGAAATAGTCTCAATTTGATTGATCATCTGAGAAATATCTGCAGTAGAATCAATTTGTTTGCACATTTCAGCAGGGAAATGTGTGTGCTGGTGTCCAGCAACCAGATGGGTTTTTGCTGTTCCACTGTGAGCATATGCTTTGATTTCATTGTGTGCAAGGGAGGGGAATAGCTCTTCTGCTGCTATTCTGGAAAAAAAACTTTTGCCTCTGCTAGTAGGTTAAAAAGTAAGGGTGCCTTCCTTTTGCCAGCAAGAGGGAGTTCTCTCTTTCCCATGTAAAGCATGCTCCTATGAAGCTCTGGTTTTGATAAGAGTCCAGTGGTTTCCAAGCTAGATCTACAGGCAGCATTCAGACAAAACCATGCCTATCTGTGCTCAAATGCCAGTGTGTTGCAAGGGATTATGGGGCATGTTCTAGGCGGTCCAGGCTAGCTGGAGCTGTTGGGCTTTAATGTTGCTCTGTGTGAGCGCAGGACACCTGGACCATGACTTACACTCCACTGCCCTTTCATATTGCAGGAAAAGATAGGTAGGAATGAGCAAATGGATCTTCAGAGACCCTTGTCTTTCATTACTGATCTTCTGAACAAGAAAATGCATTTCTGAAACACACTTGAAAAACATGGCTCTGTTCTTTTTTGCCAACATTCCTTTCATGTGCCTCTTGCCTCCCCCCCACTAAAAGAGGACTAATCAAGATGCTGCTGTGAGTTTTAGTCCAATGCATCTGGAAGAGGCCTGGCTGGAGAAGGCTGATCTACAGGTTTGTTTGGCAAGTATATGCCTTCTTATTTTGACATCCTGAGAATCTCTGATTTTCTTTTCAGTAGTTTATGTTGAACCATCAACTTACTTTGTAAGCAGCTTTGTAGAATGTAGGTAACATGAGCATGTTGTCATTTTTACCTTGAAGGTTTCAGCTATCTCTCCAAGACCAGTTGTCACTCCTCTATTTTATTGCATGCATTACTAGATTGTTTCTTGTAGATAATGTAAGTTGGATATCTGGGTCCTTGTGGACTAATGGCTTCTCAGGTTTTCTCAGGAATAGAGGTTAGCAATCTGCAGCCTTCAATATGATTTTGAAAGCCTTCTACAATTGAACCCATCTTTCTATGCTTTCTGCAACTGAACCCATTTTTCTGCCCATTCTGGCATGGGCAATGTATCCCTAACTTGGAAGTCAGTGCAGCAGAGGGGGAGGGAGAAAAGGGATAGCCCTGCCTGTTGTTGGCATGTACCAAGAGTTATCTTGCTGTGGAAAAAAAATGATCCCCTCCCCTGCTCTAAAAGAAGCATCATTCTTGTCCTTTCTCTTTGTTCCCTGCCTCAAGTTTCCAGCAGGAAAATAGTGCCCTGGTCAGAATGAGCCTATTTGCAGTATTGAAATCATAATCTTTTTATTTATAGCCTGCTTTTCTTCTGTCCTGGAGCTCAAGTTGTCATCCACTGATTTCTTAGCAGTCTCATCTGGGTTCAGTCAATGAGCCTAGCAGGACCATTTTGTAATTTGAACCTTTGCCCAGCAGGTGGAGCCAGAGCAAGGTCTGTCTGTCTGAATGGGGGAGCGGGGGTGGGGGGGACTGCCACCACCTATCGTGCCCCATGCCTCCCAGAAGGAGTGCTGTTTTTCTGCTACAGGTATGTGTTGTTATGTTGCATTCCTCTTTTTTCCCAAGAGAGGGGAGAGGCTCACTAGCTTTATGAGGCCAGTTGTGGATTTCTGAACACCTAAACTGCTGTGCAGTCAAGTTTTCTAGTTGGATATGTCAGGATTAGGAAGAAAAGGAAACTTAAACAACCAGGAAGCCTTTGAAGTTTCATTTTTAATTAGCATGCCTTCTTAAGTGTCACTATTCTAGTGCTGCCATTGCCTACTTCGTGAGCTCAGTGCTAACAAATGGGAGATCATGAACCTGTCTGCCTCTGTCTAAAAATTCTAGCCTTCCTACAGGTGTTTTGGGCTGCAGAACGCATCGGCCCCAGCTAGCATGACCATGGATGGTGAGAATTGTAGTTCAGAACATTTGGAGGACACCAGGCTGGGGAAGACTGATCTGTCTAATTTTTACCCCACTCTTTAGCTGAAGCAGCTTACTTAAAATCAATGAAAAAAACCATTCCTTTTTCTGTAATCCTCTCTGATGTGGTACCAAAAGTTACCCAGCACTATCTTCTGTTTTAAGCCTCTTGTGGAGCATTTTTCAGCAAGGTGGTGGTGGTGGGGGGGTGTTAACCCATATCATCCCTCTCCACCCTTTCAAAGAACCTTGCTGCCACTCGCCACTCCCTGCAAATGGTGCTGAATAAATAATTCACTGCTTGACAAGACTGCATGAATTATGCAGCATCAGGAACTGCTGCTCTCAACACCAAGGGCACCTCAAAAGCTGCTTGCCTTTGGCCACAGCATGGCTTCTCTCCTTCCCTACAAAGCTGCATGCCTTTTATGCCTGTTACCCATTAGCACTCAAAGCATCTGCCCCTTTCTGTATGGCTGAGATAACCGCAGTGGCAGCTTTGATTCATCCTTGGAAAAAAGTTGAGGCCTGGTGCTACAGCACTGCAAGTAAAAGCCCCAGTGCCCTGCAGTGGAGGAGCCCAGATCCTGCACATTTGATGGAGGCAGGCTCAGAGATGCCAACTGAGAGTGGAAGGAGGGTGTAAAAACAGCTCATCTTGCAGCGATGGCTTTTGCTATGAGCGTCTCTGTTCTCCTGGTTAGTGCAAAGGTAGCCTTGTCCTTGCATTGATCTTTGAAACCATTTGGTTTGAGATGTGTAGCCATAGCTGGTATTTTGACTCAGTTCTCCCTTGAAATATAAAGGCCAGATTATGCCTGCACATAATGTACACTTGTGGTGGGCAAGGGCGGACACTTCTCTGATTGAGCACACCGTTAGTCCTTCAAAAAACGATAAAATTTCCTTGAGAATTGACTACCGATCCTCCCGTTGCCCCATGTGCACGTCATTCATCTCGGTGTTAAGTGCTGGTGATCTGCTGCATATTTGAGATACTGTCAGCAGGTGGCACTATTGGTTTAATTCTGCTTAAAGGGCTAAGTTCTTTAAGAAGGCTGGAAGAATTACTCAACAAAAATTTGAATTCTCCCGAGTTAGCTGTATTAGCTAATTTTGAAGAAAAAGATGATAACCTTGCACATCTTCTAACTTTCATATATGTTAGACTGCTAGAATGATGATGATGATGATGTCTTCACAGAAAAGAGATCAACATCCCTCGGCTTGTGGAGAAATACTCTCGTTTGTTGCATTAATGGAAAAGCTAACAAAACAGATCAAGTAGTATATATTGATATTTTTTTACAGAATTTGGGAGACATTTATTAACTATGCTAATAGCAATAAAGATGTTACTGCACCTCAGTCAATTAATCAGATTTGCTGAAGAAACCTGTTACTGGGGATATTTTCCTCAGACTTTGTATATGTACACTTGAAATCAGTCTGCTAATGTATTTTGATTGGTGTCGCATTTGTGTGTCAAGTGTTTGATTATTTGTATGTTAGATGTGAAGTGGCAGTCTCTGGTGTTAGGTTTTGCAAGGGGGAGTGGTTAAAAACCCAAGTCCTACAAGGAAAGATTGAAGGGGCAGGGTATGTTCAACCTTAGGAATGAACCTTTTCTCTGCCCTCCAAATAGGAGCTGAAATAATGGGTGTCAGTTATGGAAGGTAGATTTTGTTTGAAAACTAGGAAAAAAACCTTCCTAAGGTCTAGGGTAGTCATAGAGTGGAACTAACTACTCAGAGAGGTGGTGGCTCTCAGTTGTTGGCACTATTCAAGCAGCCATTTATTGCAGATGCTTCAAATTGGATTCCTGCCTGGAGCAGCAGCTTGGACTCAATGGCCTAAATGGCCCTTCCCAATTCTATAATTTCTCAGTGAGGAAATCAGTCTCTCCCTAGAGCTGGATTTGTCATATTTGCACGTATCAATATGAAAAGGGAAAATAAGAGCTGCCTTTTATGTGACACATTTCCTGCACGGACAGGACACGGACATATGGCTGGGCAGGATATTGAGTGCCTCTGAAAAGTGTAGCCCTTGTTCTCCCGTTGCAGTATGGATGGCAGGAAAGCCTTGCAGGAGAGAAGGTACAGGGAGGGACTATTGATATTCCCACCTATGGTTGGACGATGGGGCAGCATTTACTGCTGCAGCTAGAGCAACAATGGGGAAGAGGAATATATGTGGGGGTGAGAGGCTATGAGCGTGCACTGGAACTAGAGTTAGTGGAGAGGAACATGGGAGAGTAAGAAGGGCTATTTAGCTTCAAGAAGAGAGTGGGCAGAAGTAGTAATGGGTGCAAAGTGTCCATTAGCAATCCTTGGCTGTAAATCAGGAGTATTTTTAAATATGGGATGTATGCTATGAAAGCAGACATGGAACAATGAGTAAAGGACATTTCTGACTTCCAAGTCAGTGTATGAGGGATGTTTGGACATTGTTTTACTCCAGGGTCTCAGACTGAGACTAGCAATGTGTGGAAAGGTCATCCTACCAAAGAAGAGCTTGGAGTCCCCCCACTGATATGAGCATCTCCACTCAGAGGGAAGATTGCAGTGGATGAATACCAGATAGTGGGAGCAAAGAGTGAATGCTGGTAGTTGTCACTATGTACTCCTTGTGGGACTCCCAAAAACTTTTGGCTCACTCGCGGTGGCTCGCTTACTCTGACTCAGCAGGAATCCTCTTCTGCTTTTTCAGCACACTAGTCCATGGCTGGCTGGAGGGATACTGGAGTTCTAGCCCAATGCACTTGGAGGGTGCCAGGTTGGCAACAGCTGAACTAGTTAGCCCTAGAACATCAGCCATGAGTAGGAAAGTCACAGGGCTGCCTTTCCCTCTCCCATTGTCCTGTCCAAATGACAGCTCAACTTCATGCCACCTCATTTGAGCACTTTTATTAATGAGAAGGCAGAACTGTTGGGGACAGGAAGAAAAGGCCAGTTGTTTGCAAAATGCTGCTCTTGCCTCTCCATTCATAAATGCAGTGCACAAATTCCTGGCAGCTCTGGGCAGGGACCTTTTCCTCCTCCTGGTTTACAAAGGCCGGAGAACTGTATGGCCTCCTCCCTCTGGCTAATTAAGATGGATGGGGCCATTATTGAATACCAGACACAGCCTCTTCTGGGAGGAAATTGGATCAGAGGATGAGAAAATGGGAGATGATTTCCATCTCCCAGCGGATGTTTCTGCTCCCCACTTTCCAGTCTGCTGGATGCTTTCAAGAGGCTGAGAAGGGAAATATCCAGGCCGGAAGTTGGAGGCATCTGTTGCTTTGGCTTGCGATGACTTCACTGCCTGCGCTTTGTGGCCACCTCTGGATGGAACTGGGGGCCTGGTCCACTCTTGCAGGCTTGCTTGGGCTGCATTTTAAATCAGCTGCTGGAAGCTGCTGTGCTCTGGAGGATTCTTCTGCCCTGGGGCGGAGGCAGTGGGTCTGGAGAGCACCACTGATGGATGAAGTGCATTTGTAGACGCTGCAGTCTGCCTGTCCAGACATGCCAGTTGCATGGCTTCCCTCTGGAAATCCAGGTCTTGTGGGAAATTGGCAACAGCTGTGCAGGATCTTGAAGACACAGGGATGGAAGGATCTCTTCTCTACTGAATCATCCCAAATATGCAAATTTTCGGTAGGGCTGGCCTGCAAAAGGCAGAATGCTAGACAGAGTTTGCTTATGGCTAGCACAGCTGCCTTTGTTTCTGAATGACTTGGGGTTCACCCTTCCATCTGTGTGCTTTCAGTGCTCCTGGCTGCACCAAACCAGTGATGTGGGAAACTGTCCAATGGATGATGAGCCGTACAGTGTGTAGGGGTAGTGGGTCTTCATGCTCCATTGCCCCACAGGATGGAAAGATCCTCAGCTGCCGCAGCCACCCCCAGCACCTCGCCAAGACCCTTTCCTCAGTTATAAAACATTCCCCAGATTGAATTTGCCCCCAGTGCTGCAGACTCAGAGATTAGAGGCAGTGGGTGGGTGAGTTTGAATAAATCACAACTGTAATTTCCTTTGCAGGGAAGAGTGTGGAGGGGAGGCAGGCAGGCAGGCAGGGAGCAGGAGAGTAGAAACATGGCAGCGGACAAATGAAGGGCATTCGATCATCGTCCAGATCCAGCCTGGCAGCTTTGTGGAGACTGAGCAGGATGCTGGGCAGAGAGGAGAGGGCTGTGGATTGTCATGCTCAAAGGAGGAGTGTGAGAACCGGCCAGCTCTGAGTGCCCAGCTGGAGCTCTGGGTTAAGCAGGGCTTTCCTCCCGTTGTGGTCTAGCCCTGGCTTGAGGTAACTGCAGGTAGGCTTATTAATTAGCATGCTTTGGCATGCTTTCAGAGACTTTTTCCCCATCCAGGAACAACACACTGCTCTGGGTTCCTTGACAAAGGGGCCTTCCAAGCCAGTGCAAACGTCTTCGTGGAACTTTCCCAAAACCCCAAATGGTTGACCAAATCTGGCCTAGTCAGTGTGTCAGTGCATTGCATGCTGTGCAAGGCCAGGAGAAGCCATCCTTTGAACATTATTATTATTATTATTATTATTATTATTATTATTATTATTATTATTACATTTCTATGCCGCCCCTTGCCGAAACCTCGGGGCGGCTTACAACACGATAAAATACAATGAAATACAATAGCACATAATAAATTACCATTAAATACAAAATACAAAAAATACATTGGTTTACAAATATAAGATTAAAATTATCAGTATAACTTAAGTAAATAAAAATATAGGAGGAGAAAGAGAAGGAAGAAGAAGTTGCCCTGGCCAGATCATATGTTTTAACAATTCAAATGATGTTTAAATAAAAAGGTCTTTACCTGGCACCGAAAAACCAGTAACGACGGTGCCAGGCGGACCTCTTTGGGGAGTGAATTCCATAGGTTGGGTGCCACCGCAGAGAAAGCCCTCATCCGAGTACTTACTCTCCTAATTTCTTTCATGGAGGGTTCCCGGAGAAGGGACTCTCCCGCAGATCTCAAAGGGCGGTCGGGCATATACGGACGTAAGCGCTCGTTCAGGTAGCCAGGACCCAAGCCGTTTAGGGCGTTATAGGCCAGTGAGGTTGTTTTTCACTCATGTAGGAGCATCAGGGATTGTCCCCTAACCAGAGACAAACTTTGGATGATTCTGTAGGTATGAAACAATGCAGACCACCTCTTAATTCCCCTTCAGCAATCCTGTGCATCCTGCTGAGGTTCGGGGAGTGGGGGCAGAAGCCATGTTGCTGCTCACAAGTGATTGCACTCAGCAATCTGAAAGGCATGCCTTGCCCTGCTGGGGAGCGGCTTTGTCCAACCTGGTGCCCAGATGTCTGGGGCTGCAATGCCCACCAAGGGCCATGCTGCCCAGAAATGCTGGGAGCTGCCCTCCAGTGTGTCTGGAGGGCATCAGCATGAGGAAGGCAGCTCTGTGATTTGGGTTGTGTGACTGAGCCTGGGGAGAGGCCAAGGGTGCTGGCAGATCTTGCCTCTCAGCAAAAGGCTGAGCTGGGAGGGTGGTTTTTTGGTTCCCATAATATGATTGGGTGGGGCTGAACTGCAAGGCCCACCCCCTCAATCCCAGCTGCCCTATCTATAATTGATGCCTGCTGCTGTCTGCTCAGCTGCAATTATCCAGTCTTTAGCCGCCATCAATAATGCATCAGCCCAGACAGCTGCACAGATCTAGTCCCTGGGCAGCTCCCCTGGCTCCACCCCATCCTCAGCATGTCCTGGCAGCAGGGACCCGCCGTGCACCCACAGCCATTCAGTGTTCAGGTAAGACATCCAAAGGGCAGCCCCCTACTCCACCAATGCATGTAGGTACCATGCACCCTGGAAGATTTTGGTACAAACCCCACTGAAACCCCACAGATTTTGGTACAAACCCCACTGAAACCATGCAGTTGCAAAGCACTAGGGGACAGATGGGTGCATGGTAAAATTACCACCACTTGAGATAGCTGTGGGACTGACTGCAGCACAGGAATATTTCTGCCACCACATGATGCTGGTGTTTTCCATGCCGTTTTGGTTGTTTCCAGCAGGAGGTGCCTTTGGCCCTTCACAACTCAGGACTACTATGCAATTTCATTTGTTATGAAAAGTAATCTCTGTGCTGAATAGGAGATGGGAAGCACCCTTAACAACCTGTCCAAGAGAAAGCTCAGAGTGAGAGGATTGCATCACAGGAGAGCATCCAGCGGGGCTATACAGTTTGGGATCCATGGAACGTGCAGTTGGCCCAGTCCTAGCTTTGTCCCCTCTGCTCCCATGCCCAGAGCTCTCTTGCGTCTTGCCAGCCATGCCACAGGGTCCACTTGCCCCATGTGGCACAGCCCTGCCTTAGCCCTGGTTGACAGCCCAAAGCTGCCAGCACCCATTCATTTCAGAGCCAAGGGAGTCTCTTCGACCCGCGATGGCTCTTTGAAGCAGAAATGAAGTGCCAGGTGGAAGAAAGGTCAATACTGAGGGATGCAGGAGGCTC